TGTGCCTTGGTGTGTTCCTCCTTGGGTCCAACTTCTTTGGGACTCTCTGAGCTTCCTGGACTTCCTGGAAGTCTATTTCCTTTGCCAGAATGGGGAAGTTCTCCTTTATTATTTGTTCAAAAACATTTTCAATATGTTGCTCTTCCTCTTCCCCTTCTGGTACTCCTATAATTTGGATGTTGGAACGTTTAAAGATGTCCTGGAGGTTCCTAAGCTTCTCCTCGTTTTTTTGAATTTGTATCTCTCCATTCTTTTCTGTTTGGTTGTTTCTTTCTTCCTTCTGGTCCACTCTATTGTTTTAAGTCCCAGTTTCCTTCCCATCACTATTGGTTCCCTGTGCGTTTTCCTTCATTTCTTTTATGGTAACCTGCATTTGTTCATCTAATTTGCGACCAAAATCAACCAATTCTGTGAGCTTCCTGATCACCAGTGTTTTGAACTGTGCATCTGGTAGGTTAGCTATCTCTCAGTCGCTTAAAAGGATGAGTTCTGGGACATTGACTTGTTTTCCTGTTTGAGCCATCTCTCTCTCTCTCTCTCTTGGGTCTGCTCACTCCTGTTACAGTGAGGGGCGGAGCCTTAGGTGTTCACCAGGACTGGGCACCCCAGTTGCTAGATTGTGACGTTGTATGTGGGGGCGGGGTTGAGAGGGAACAATGGCAGTAGCTCCATTCTCCATGGGACCTCAGTCCCTTCTCTGGGATCCTGGGTTGCGTGCTCTACCCTGATCCACAATCACTGTCTCACTGGGTCTGCCAGCTGCCGCTTGTGTACTCAGGGTCCACCCACTGCCATCTTGGGCGCCTCAGATGCCTTATGCACCCAACTCTCTCTGCTCTCCACGCCTCGACCGACGCCTGGCTGCTTGTCTCCACCCATCCTACTGGTCTGGATGAACGGGTCTATTTCAACTTCTTGGCTGTCCGACTTCCATTTAGATAAATTTTCTGTCAGTTCTGGGTGTTATTCTACCTCTAAATTGTTGTTGTTCCAATCTTGGTTGTGCGTGGAGGTACGGTGCATCCACCTATGCCTCCATCTTGGCCGGAAGTCCTGTTTTGTATTTTTAAAATTCTGTACTTCTAATATGAATAGGTAAGATTCTTAAATGTGCAAACGTCAGAAGATCAATTAAAGGACATACAAGGAAGTCTGTTTCGCTCCCCATCTACCCAGTCCCCACTCCCCAACATGTATCCATGGTAACTAGATTTTTAATTAACAGGAAAGTATAAATGCACGTAGACACAAATAATCACTGCTTTCTGCACAAATAGTAGTATACCATGTTTACTATTTTGCACCTTGCATTTTTTTTAAGTATGGAAGGGTATTGGCTCACATAACTGAGAAGTCCATGGCATGGCTAACAACATGGCAGGATCCTGGGCCTCAGTCGTTCATATTAGAACCATTTCTTTCCCTTTTCCTCTATCGCCTGCACTCTCCTCTGCAGTGGCTTCGTTCTCAGGCTAGCTCCTGCCACTCCCATCCCAGCTGTGTGAGGACATCCTAACAGCTTGAAAACCCCAGCAGAAAGCGCATACTCCCAGGGAAATCTAACGAAAGTCTTGGGGAGAGCTCTCACTGGACGAGCTAGAGTCATCATAGGCTCACTGGATGAGCTAGGCTCATCACTGAACCAATCAGAGGCCAAGCTGCTGGGCTGTGCTGACCGGCTAGGTCTAAGTCACAAAACCACCTCTGAAGCCCGGGACTTGAGCATCCAGTCCCACACTGGCATGAGGCACAAGGCCTGGGAGTTGAGGAGAGGTGGCGCCTCAAAGGAATAGCAAGGTGCTATGAACAGAAGCTTCTCCACTGGTGAAAGCATGTCCACCGCAAAAGGTGCTGTTTTGTCTTTGGGTTTTTGACTCTCACATGCCTGGAACCTGCTCGTGTAGCTGAGGCCACTCCTGCTTCCCGGCACTGGCCTCTTGGAAAATGCCCCAGTGTGGAGAGCAGCTGCCCTAAGTTTTTTGTTTGTTTGTTTTTTGATCCTGTATTTGTCCACTTGGTATCTATTAACCATAGGGCCAAACTAATATTTCCTGTGATGCTGCTTCTGCAAGCATGGAAAGTCTTAACTGCAAACCGTCCAACTAATCCCAAGTCCATACCCACAGCCACTTCATCTATCACCTCCACACACCACTCCAATATTTCCCCTGCCCTAAATCAACCTAGGGCCAGAAACCAGACATCTGGGGAGACCCTATGCCCTAAATCTTGCTGGAATTATTCAGCCTAGGAGTTTATCAGGTAAACACTCAAAAGAAAAAAAAAGGGAGGAATGGTCAGAGACAGGAAAAAAACTTTACCTGCCTACAGATACAGGTGCTTAGCTGTTCTAAAAGATTTTTTAAGAAGAAAACAAGGGGGCTATGGAAAGAAGCGGACAAGGCCTGGCTGGTGTAGCTCAGTGGATTGAGCGCAGGCCTGTGAACCAAAGAATTGCCGGTTTGATTCCCAGTCAGGGCACATACCTGGGTTGCAGGCCAGGTTCCCAGTAGGGGGTGTGCTAGAGGCAACACATTGGTGTTTCACTCCCTCTCTTTCTTCCCTCCCTTCCCGATCTCTCTAAAATAAATAAATAAAATCTTAAAAAAAAGAAGGGGACAGATGGACAGATTAGGCTACAGAGGGGAGCAGCTGCTCTCTAGAAGTTCTGTGCCCTCCTTGCTTCCTTTCCTTTTATCAGCCTGAGACAGAAACTAAAGAAAACCACAGCTTCAGCAGCTAAAAGCCATATAACAGATACATGATCTATGTATATGTGATCTGTAACTACCTTAAAGCAAAGATCCTTAATTTGGCCCAATTGGAAATCCAAAATTTATCTACTAATTTATATAAGAAGATAAAAAGGGTGCTGATTGGCTTTGGTGCATCTGCAACCTAGGTTCTAAATTAACTGCACCAATTGGCAAAACTTTATGGACTTAATTAGGGGAGCTCAAATTATAGCTGTACCTGAGGATCCCATTAAATGTAAACATTGTGCCCCTCTAATCTTAAGAAAGTAACTATGAGAGACGAAAAAATAGGAATGCTTCCCTTTATAGCCTTGCCTGAATTTCCCATACTGACAATACCCATAGCTGGAAAAATATCCCACATTGGACCAACACAATGAGCATATGGCTCCCCAGTTAAAATAGTTAAAACGGTCCAATATAAAACAGGGCCTTCGAGGATTAAAACTTATAGTACAAAACCTAATTAAGGAAGGGGTGGTTGGCCTACTGCTCTTCCACTGGAAAGTCCTAGGGTTGTCATAACAAAATACCACGGGCTGGGTCACTTGGACAGCAGACATTGATTTTTCTTGCAGCTCTGGAGGCTGCGAAGTCCAGGATCAAGGTGCTGACTTGTTCAGCTTCTAATTAGGCCTCTCTTCCTGGACTGTTGACAGTGGCCTTCTTACTGGGTCCTCACATGGCCTTCCCGCTGGTAACATAAAGCAATCTCTCTGTCTCTCTTCCTCTTCTTACAACACCACCAGTCCTATCGAATTAGGGGCCCATCCTTACAACCTCATTTAACTTGAGTTACCCTTCATAAAGGTCTGGTCTCCAATACAGTCCCATTGGGAGTTGGCACTCTGACACGTACATTTTGGGAGGACACAAACGTTCAGTCCATAACGGGAGCCCCATGGTGGATTACTACATTAATGCTTCGGCCCCATCCATTAGGGCCTCCAAACCCAGTATCCAACGTTAAAAGCGCTGACTCATCTCTCAGGTGTGAGGACACCTTCTGAAAGCCATACCTAACCCTCCAGGTCTGCCTCTGTGGCCCCCCTGGGTGCTCCCATGATATCCGGCCTCTTTCTCACGGCTATGTCGTCATTATTAGGGAGGGTACAAGTGTCTGCCTCGAACAGGTGTCTAACACACGGTGAGCTCCATTAGGACGTCTCCAGAGCCGAGCACAACACCTGGCACCAGATAAGGGTGCAAAGTTGAAGGACGTGAAGACACAGGCGAGAGGAGGGTTCCGGTCGTGTGTAGAACAGGCATTTCAGCTGAATGTCATCCCTCCTTGAGTTCTGAGAGGGTCCTCCTTGGTGCTGTAGGCGGTATCCTTTGAAGTCTAAGTGTTAGCGGCTTTCTTTAGGTTATTCAGAGCTTGAACCCTGTCTCTATCCTGCTTCCTACTCGGCCATTTTTGCTATTAAATGTCTGCTTAACTTACTCTGGTTTTGCTTTTTTTCCCTATAGAGTAATTTAACAACGGGTTTTGTTCGCCAGCATTTGTTTTTTGTAAAATTTAAAAATTGGCAGACTTCACACATAAAAAAGGAACAAATTTTTGCCTTTTCCATAAAAAGAGAAATAAGTAAAGGAAGGAATTTAAAAAAGGAAAGGAAGCTTTGGCACCACTGGGCCAGAGTCTCGCGTAGCCGCCGTCAGCGGGAGCCGCGGCTTGGCTTCTCACTCAAGGACCGCACAGGCCCCCGGAGGAATCCGGGTTTGCGACCCCTCTCCCGGTTAATGACAACTTACAGTCGCTCGAGCGCAGCAGTACGGGCGAGGCCGAGGCCCGCGTTACTGAGGGGGAGGAGAGGCCACCGGAACCTCAGACGGTCAGAGCCAAACGGCTTCGGGCCCAGAGCCTCTCTGCCTGTGGGAACCGCCAAGTCTCAGGCCCCCCACAAACCCCGGGGTTTCCAACCCCACCGCAGTCCGCGATCCCGTTGCCTGCTTTGTCTGAAAAGCCTTTACCAACACCAGGAAACACAACAAACACAGAGCCCCAACTCGCACCGGAAACCCGGGGTTGAGCCGTAGTCACCTGACACGACATCGCGGATTATGATTGGGCTTGAGAACATGTGCTTCCTTAGAGGCGCGTGGTGGCCCCGCCCCGGAAGCCCAAGGGGGCGAGGACAGGTGCCACGGCGCGACGGTATTGGTCGGTTTCCTCAGGGCGCAGCCAATCGGAATCCGCTGACATCTGGCGCGAAGTGAGCTGGCGCGCGGCGCGCGGGCTGCGGAGGCGGCGCGGGGAGTTTGGACCCCGGTTCCGCCCGCTCCGAGCCTGAGGGAGAGGTGAGTGCGGCGCGCGGACTTAGGGCCGGCCCGCCCCGGCGCAGCTCGTCTTCCCGGCCGGGCCGGAGAGGAAAGCTTCGCCGGCTCCTCCGTTGCTCGCCCCGGCTCGGCGCGCTGAGCCCCGCCGTTTCGCGGGCTGCCTGGGAGAGAGCAGAGAAGGTTCCCTGAAGGAAACGGGCCCGGGGCGGGGGCGCGCTGTCCCGGAGCCGCCCGGGGCGTTGGGGCCGAGCCGGCCCACAGCCATTGACCGCGGTGTCCGCCCCAGAGTGGTCACCGGCCGGGCCCAGCCCGGGGCGCTGCCCCGTCCCCATCTCCCTCCGGAGGGAAAACCAAAACGCCTCTCCGTTCAGTGGCCTCCCGCGGCCGGCTGCTGTGTGTTGAGCGTCGCTGTGTGCGGCGTGGACTGACAAGTGCAGCGTCGCGAGCCCGCAGCAAAGGGCCGTGGGTCCGATGTCCGGGTTCGAATCCCCGCTCCTCCCCCTCCCCGCCCCTCGGACTCCACCGTTACTTCAACTAAGTGCCTCGATTTCCTTCCGACGTGGATGTGTAGGCGAAAAGATCCTGGGTTGTTTTGGGGAGGGGGGGCGGGGAAGGTGGCGAGGGGTCTGGATTACACGATTTAGTAAATGCTTCCAACAGTACTTGGCTGCACAGTAAGGGTCCCGTTGGCGTTACTCAAAGGCGAAGTGGGTCGAACTGCCCTCCTGGAGCCGCTGAGGCACAGAGACGCTGTCCGCGCTGAACGGGCATTTGGTGCTAGAGACAGGCTTGGCACTGAGGGCTGGCTCCAAAGCGTCTTCCTCCGTCCACATCAGGCTGCCGCCCATTGCCCGTAGGTGTCCCAGGACCGTGGTCCCCAGTGCCCTGCGATGGAGAAGGTGCCTGCCGAGCTCCGGGTGCCACCAGCGTGGGTGGCGCCCATGCGCCTGTCAAGGCTAAGGAGCTCTCATGGGAGGGACCGAGCAGGGGTCAGAAATTGGAAAGGGGGAGGGACGCAGGTCTTCTGTGTGGGGAAGAGTAAGGAGAAGGAAACTGCACCAACATGTTGTCAGCTGTCAGATGGTGGCTTAGAGCCTCCTGGGAGGGGACCCCCTGGGGACAGCTGGTGCCTTCGTTGTGCTGAGGAGGAAACCCCGAGTTTAAACACCGGGCAAAGGCCGCGCTGTTGGATGTTCACACAGAAACAGATCCGCGGGGGGATGACACGCACCCACTCGAGGACAGTCAGCACGACCTGTGAGAAGGGAAGGGGAGGAGGCAGAAGGGGAGCGAGTGGGACTTTAAAACATACTTGAAATGTTTTATGCTGTAAAAGAGAGAAATAGGATAGAAGTTAATTTCTTAAGTTCAGTTGGTGGGTACATGGTTATTATTTTATTTCGCCTATTTTTCTGTGTGTTTAAATATTTAAAATTCAAAGAAATAGCTCAATATAACTATATTAAATATAATATTAAGTGTATATTTTGGTACCTATGTATTTTTTATTTTAATACATATGTATTCTTTATTTTTTAAATATATTTCTTTTATCGATGATGACTCCCTCAAATAAAAAGAAAAAATATATTTCTTTTAAGGAAAGAAAGGATAGAACAAAGAGGTCCAAAGTAATTGCAAAATACTCTTGGGAACTAAATGCTGAAAGCCCCAGTGGGTCTCCATTGCCTGGCAGGAATCACTGTACAAGTCTGTTGCACAGATAGTGTGCAAACTCCCCTTTTTCACAACCTCCACCCTGATTGAAAAGTTCTACTTGTCTCAAGCTTGTCTTTCATATTTCTAAATGTAGTAAGTGTAGTTGCTTTATACTCTTATGCCTGATGCAGTTTGCTTCTGCTACAATTAGTTTTCATTCTTGTTTCCCTGTGTGTGTGGCTGTTTTTGCCTGTGTTTGGTACACACTGTCTCGAAACATTGTTTGCAGGCATTATTTAAGACCTAAGGTAAAGGTGTATTTCTCCTGAGATGTGCTTGCACTTGCTTCTGCCAGGTGCCTTGGAGTTAGAATCACTTTAACCTGAATTCATGACTTGAGGGGGGTGTGTGTGTGTATTTAATTATGCTTGCATAAAAATTCAGTTGAAAAGAATCTTGGACTTGTGGTTTCAAGGTCTGTCCCAGTCAGTCCCTCAGCAAGTACTAACTTTACTTATACACAGGCACCTGGGGATGGAAGTGGGGTTTAATTTTGGTTTATCTTTTTCCAAATGATATAGTCCTCCAAAATGGGGAGGTGCCTTTAGACTTGCAAGGATTGTGGTCTTGAAATATTCTCCATTTAATTTTAAAAAATCAAGGCTCTCTGGGGAAATGGCTAATTCTAAGTCTGGGGACAAAAAGAGAATAAGTCTGGGATATCTCTTCATTCAAGATAGTAAGGGAACTCTCAGAGACTACCAAGGTCGTGTCAAATGGAATGAAGAACCAACCTGTAAAGGTTCCTACTGGCCTAACATGAAACAGCTTGAGAATCAGTAAAAATGATAACTGTATTGGATGGAAATGTACAAAAATATGTTAAATCCATGAGTTTATAATGATACTAAGAAAACATTGATCACCATTGGAGGTCATCAGAGTATGAACTCATTATTTTGAAAATTAACAAATGAAGGAAAGGAATTGAACATTTATCCTGTCTCTTGTGTGAGCATACTACTGGGTAACAACATAGTCGGTCACAGTAGCTTTCTCTTAATAGAAATACACAGTGGGATAAAAGTAGGTTTACAGTTGTTTGTATAGAAAAGAAATAGTAACACAAAGATAAACTCTGTTTTGCATACTCACAACTGTAAATCTACTTTTGGCCCATCCTGTATTTCAGCTAATGACGAATAAGGGAATGACAATGAAAATACCACCATTTTGGGGGGTCAGCTTCCAGAATGGTGAAATGAGGACCTTGGGATGTGTGCCTAGGTGGTAATTGTGTAGGAGTTCATTATACCCTTCTGTCTACATTTTCACGTTTATTTTGGTGATAACTTTATTAAGATGTAGTTAAGGTGGCTTAAGTTGTACATTATGTTAGACAGTAGCTCAGCAATCTCAGTTGGTTCTACAACGGGAAAATACGGTTGGTAAAAGTATTCTTTCAGGTTAAACTAAGTAATTACGAAGTATGGTGTTTTGCAGGTAAACCGTTGCTTCCATGGGTGGTGCTCTTTCTTCTTTTCCCCCTTGGGCAGAGACTTGAGTTATTCATTTTTTCTTTGGGTTCAATAGGCTTTGAGTATTTTCCCCCACCTCCCTCCCTGCCTGTTTCTATTTATTCTTCGAGCCCAGGCCAGGTACCATTTTTCTGCAGGCCCTTTCCTGTTAATCCCTTCCCTAATGTATTTTGTGCTTATTTTAGCACTGGGGGGAAAACCAGGTCAGTTTGGTATTCAAGTGAGCCTTCACTTATTTAAAGATTGTATATTTCAAATGTTGCCAGTTGTATATGTCAAAACAATTTATTGACTAAAAAAAGCCTCATTACTTTGCACGTAAGTTGGAAGAGTTCTCTACCTGCTTTGTTCCCCGAGTCCCCTCAAAATATGGTGATTAATGCAAAGTAATAAGTCTCCTGATCTTTTTTCCCTCTCTTTTTAGGATCATGGCTGCTGTTCCTCAAAATAATCTACAGGAGCAACTGGAACGTCATTCAGCCAGAAAATTGGACAATAAATTAAGTATTTCAAGAGCAAAACCTTCGTAAGTGTTTTGGTTGTTTTGTTGTTACACAGGCACTAACACATGGTGTCACACAAATGCGATATCTGCCCTTTCAACCCTTCCATTGTACAGATGAGTAAGCAAAGCTGTGAGTCAGTGATTTTCCCACTTTGCAAATGGATGGCAGAGCTTGTGTTTGCAGCACCAGGTAATAAATTGTTGAGCCCGACTGCAGCTTCTGACACATAACGTTTGCTCAGTAAATATTCGTTAAATGAATAAATAATGAGTCTTTTTGTAAATTTGGGCAAATGGTATTTTTAATATTTTAATATAGTTTTATAGCCTTTCCAAAACAATTTATAAGGAAACTGTAGCTCTCGGGTTCTTTTCTTTCCCCCGAGCTATACCCCAAACTCTTAATGATATCTAACAATAATGTATATTCCTTATTGTAGTCTTAACCAGGTTCTAGACTGGGCACTTGACTTCAAAGTGGCCATTGACCTTTATGTCACTAGATCCAGAGATGTCCGGGACTCTTGCTTTCCTCCAGATCTCAGTATAGTGAGCAGTTTTTAACTTTTTCCCCCGTAAAACTTTGATCAGAGTAGCAATAAGCAGCCACATTTGAGTCTCTTCTGTTTTTCACTTACGCTATCCCTCCCTCTGGAGGTGCTGTTAATTAAGGACTCCCAGCCTGAGAAATAAAGTTGTGGGAATGGCCTGGATAATTAGCTCCTGAATAGGAAGGACCAAAGCACACAGAGTATAATTTAAGTAAATTTTTAGCCGGAGAGGGGAATACAGACTTTGCTCACTGGTGATACAATGAAGGTAAGTTATATAAATTAGTAAGAGTTATAGAGTTTTGTGCAGTTGGTGGGTTTCTTAAAATTTTCCTAACTCGGGTTTTCGATTTGTCCAGTGCTTTCACTTTCAAGAAGAAAATACCTTCAGCCAACGATGTATCTGTGACCAGTGTGTCAGTGGCAAAGACACCTGCGTTAAGTGATAAAGACGTGAATGTTACTGATGACTCTTCCTTCATTGAAACTTCCCCCTATAATCGGCAGACAAGGATCTGTGACTTTAAAAATGCTGCCACAGGACAGCAAACCAAGAGAATTGGTTCAAAACCATTGTTGCCAGATCCTGCGCAGGTTCCACGGGCAGTTTTACGTACTACCCAGAGCACACCGGTTACAAAGGAACCCCGTGATGCCACTTTCAAGAAATTAGAATTTAGTTCTTCATCAGACTCTCTTATTACCGTCAATGATTGGGACGATATGGATGACTTTGATACCTCTGGAAATTCAAAAGCATTTTTTACACCAGTCAAAAATCACTTCCTGAGAGTAAGCACTGCTCAGAAATCAAAGAAGTCTAAGAAAAACTTTTTTAAAGCACAGCTTCATAAAGCAAGTACAGGAAAGGCTGATCTGGCCCTTTCCTCCTCTGAGTGCAAGCAAGGACGTCCGACTGAGGGACAGAAGGCCGACTCCGAATGGTTGAGTAGCGACGTGATTTGTATTGATGACGGCCCCGACTGTGAAGAGTTTACAAGTAAAGATACTCAGGATAGTCCCTCTGTCAAACTTCATTTGGGAGAGGAGAAAGGTAAAAATTGCTATTTTATTTTTATTTCAATATATTGATTATATTTGTTCATGCAAAGCTAGGCGCTGGAACAGGAGCGAATACGATGTAGCTTTGTTCTTAGGATCATTGGAGGCACTTGTTGAACAGTATGGTGATCACATGCTCGAGGCAGGGCATACTGATGAAATGAGAGATTTTATTCTGCTAATAAAACTTTCAGATTAACACCAAGGCTAGCGCTGTGATTTTTATATGTGAAGAAAATAAGGTCTGTAAGAGGTTAAAATGGCCTATTAGTGGTCTACGGGCTTGGGAAGTGGTAGAATTGGGAAGTGAAGCTAAGCCTTTCTATTATAATTCCTTTATGGCTTGCTGCCACCTAATATTGCTGTATAATATGATCTCATTATGCTAGTAAACATTATAAATTACATTCAAACTATTTTCTATGTAGGTCTCATAGTTACTAGATGTCCAGAACTTAATAGCTAAGATTAGCCTTATGTGGAAGTACCTACCTTATGAAATAGTTATGAATATGAGGCTAAAATTTTTAAGTACCTGAATCCCATCAAGGTTACTGTAAGATGAGAGAGAACCAAAAAGTGATTCATAATGAGCAGAACTATATTGTCTAATCAAATGTGTTGCTGTTGATAAAGAAAAAAATTTGGTAAATTTTTGGTAAAGAGCAAGAATTTGACATTGTGCTTTTCCTTATATTCAGGAGAGAAGCACAATTTGGTGGACTTAAGTCACTAGGAAGCCTTTGTGATAAAGTAAAAGTAGTTTGTATGAACCACAGTGTTTGTACAATTATCAGATTCATTTGTCTTACTTCACCTTTATTTAAATATGAGCCAAAAATAGAAAAACAAAAATGCTAATGCTAAATATGGGTTTCATCATCCTACTGGAGACAGTCACCAGCATCCTTAAGCAGAACTGTGGCCTCAGTCCGGCGTTCATTGGACTTACTCCAGCTGACTCGATCATTGACGAAGAGTTAAGCCACCGCCCAGGTGGGAGAGGAGAGGACTCACAGGGTGATGTTACTGTTGAGGACTTGCCTGAGGCACTCACTGTTCAGTGCTTACGCCCTGTTCTTTCTGTCTCACTAGTTATTTAAATAACCTATGTTTATCAACTGTGTACTTTAGAGAATACTGAAAAGGAAGAAAACTTGGAAGAAACTGAATTACATTCAGTTGAGAAATCTCCGTGTGCTGAACTTGACGAAGATGATTACAACATAGATTTTGTTCCACCTTCTCCAGAAGAAATGACTTCCACCTCTTCTTCCTCTTTAAAATGCTTTAGGTAAAATAATTAATTAAGAAGCATTATTGTTTGTTTCTAGAATATCTAAAATAACTTAATTTAGTTATGTAATATCATTTCTGTATAATTTCATATTCTGCACAGTTTATATCCAAATGAAAGCTTAGAAAGTCCCTGTTGATACATTTTATTTAATTGGTAGTATTCTAAAGCTATAAAGTTCCAGCTGTAGAGTACTATCAAAATTGTAATTACATGAGACCTCCAAACAATTTTACGTAGTTGGTTTTAATGTGAGGAGTCTATTCCTAAAAATATTATATTTCCAAACTCTTGGACCTGAAATGACACAAAGCTAATTCCTTGTGTGGAAAGTGACTTGGTAAGTGATATGTCTTTAATCTTACAGGATAGAATTGGCTATTATATTTGCCATTCACTAAATTTTAGCAAGTTAGGGACATGGTTGTGGTTAACTGGTAGTGTTATGGGAAAGAATACATTGCCCACACAGCTCATCAATAGTTTAAAATACTAATAGGCATTGTTAACTCCATGTTCACCCCAACCTAAATTACAGTCCAGTTGAGTGGTGGAGCATATACTATGCTATTAACCAATATTTTGATGAGAAATAGATCCCTAAAGTATATTGCCTTAATAGGGGAAGGAAGGCGGGAAGGAAGTCAGGAAGGAGGTGTTTGTGTGCATAACCTAGTTTCTCCCAGTTTGTGCTTTAACAGGTGTGTGGGGATGTTTGAAGAGGCAGGAAAGGTTGAAGCATGATTACTATTTGATGACAAAACTAAAAAACTGTTAACAGCTGCCCACGCTGCTTCTCCCTTCCGGTAGAAATTCAGACAGAAATGCACAAAGTAGAAAACTCAGCAGGAGTTCACGTAGAGTGCGGATTCTAAGTCAGCATCATCCCTTAGCAGGTGCGGCAGGGGATGGCCCAAGATGGTAAAATCCATGACAGATGAGGAAGATGCTGCTCAGTGCTGTTTCCTGGCTTTTCTGTTTGTTTGTTTGAAAAGCGTGCCTGCACAAATAGCACTGCAGCCACTTAACAGGATTCCTAACTCGTAGTCTCAACATTCCAACAAACCAAACATTTGGATTTTTCTTTACATGTGTATAATTTTTGCATTGCTGTGATCAGCATGTAACTATAATTTTTTTCCTGCTACTTTTCTCTGAGTATTATTTTTAAAACATTTTCCATATTGCTATCTAGTTTTTATTTTTATTCTATTAATGGCTTTATACTATTGAGTGGCTGTACCATATCTAGCTGTACCTAGCTCTCCAGCACGTGGAAAATGGTCATTTCTGAGGTGGAGCCTCTCTGTATATTTCCCATTGCAACCTTGTGTACATAGTTGTGCATGTTATAACACAGATAGAATTTTCGCAAATGGTGCTTTACGTTCAGAGTACACTTGAATTTTATTTTTTGTTTTCACTTTAAAATGCTGGTGTGACTTCTGAATCAATTTCAGAGTTGTGAAGGTCGGGTAATATATAACAGAAAAGAGGAACAAATGTGCTTTTATAGCTGGCCTTCCAAATCTTCCAGCATCAGGCCCCAAACTGCCTTTTAGCTTTATCGCTAGTTGTCCCCTTTCAATAACCCGAAGCTCCGATGAGCCCGATGGGACAAATTGGGAAACTCTGCTGAAATTGTAAGGCCCTTTCTTTATTATAACACCACGTCATCTTATAAAGCACAGGTTTACTCATCACTGTTTGATTTAGTTAGAAGATTGCATCCTGAAATCCTGTTTGAGAAAAGTACAGTTGGTTCTTAGATATCAAGTGAACAGAATGTCTGTCTGTCTCTTCTTCATGGTCCGTCACTTCTCACGTCCATCCTTCAGGGTCTCTGCCCACCCCACCCCCTTTGCAGAGCCTTCTGGAGTTCTGGAAAGGGCTGTCTTTCTTTGGGTTACCACAGCGCCCTCTCTTTAACAGTTAGTACTGATTTTATTACTGTTAAGGTATTTTATATATCCAGTCAGACTGATTGTGTTTACAGCTGTTAATGTGTTTTTGTATGATGTGCATAAGTTAATTATGTGCACAGGTGTACACATTAGACATGCTGGTATAAGAGTCGTCTGGATAAAATGCTTTGGAATCTCAGAAGAGAGAGACGTTAATGACCACCTGCTGGAGAAATCACAAAAGTAACACTCGGGCGGGGCCGAGGAGGACAGGGGTGGTTGGAGGCTGGGATTACTGAAAGGACGTCGTTGGAGGTGAAGTTGGAAAGGTCTCGAGCTAAAAGATGAAAGACTGTGAGGGCCAGCTCAGAGGTTTTAGAATAGAGAAGATAACAGAACCATGTCTCTCTCTTATGTTATATGTCGTGGAGAAACGTTAGAGGAAAGGTGATGCGTTTGACGTGCTTTACACGTCGATTGGTTGTGTTTGTTGAAATTGGCAGTGTGTTAAAGGAGCCTGACACCTGCGACAGGGAGACGGGCGATCTGAGCACGCCCGAGGACGCGTCCCAACCGGAGAAAGTGCCCGCTCAGCCATTGCCCCGAAAATCCAGCACAGACTGTGACGGTACGACCAGTATTTCAGACCTATCGCGTATTTTAACTGCTTATTTTGAAAACCAAGTAATACATTGTATTTTTACCTGTGACTGTATAATATAGGATGGCAAATTTATCGTTCCTTTTGCCCTAGAGTCACCCTCGTTCATTGGTTACAGCATTTGTTCGAACAACTTGCAAACTGATGTTCAGCCCTGGCCAGTGTGGCTCAGTTGGTTGGAGCTTCATCCCATAAACTGAAAAGTTGAGGGTTCAATTCCCAGTTAGGGCACATACTTAGGTTGCAGGTTTGGTCCCCGGCTGGGGTTCGCAGGAGAGGCAGACCATCGATGTTTCTCTCCCTCTCTCTCCCTACCTTCCCCCTCTCTAAAATCAATAAGCACGTCCTTGGGTGAGGATAAAAAATAAATAAATAAAAATTTCATGTTCTTGCAAAGTAATTCATTCTCTATTTTGAAAACACTACTTGTTAGAAAATTATTTCTTGTACTGAACCAAAATTTGCCTTTCTATAACTTAATTCTTGTAAGGTAAGTTAAAGCTTCCAGAAGTTGTTGGGGATTTTTTGTTAAGTCTACATATTATTAGGTCCTGTTACTCCTTACAGATGTTGGTTTATAGACACCCTCCTAGTTCTCCTTGTACAGAGTCTGGGTTGGGATCCTAAAGTTTAATGCTTTTTAGTTTGCTGGATTTGTTTCTTGATTCCTTAAATTTTTTTATATTAAATATCTAGTATAAATAATCCAATAATGTGATAGGACTGAAAAACAGCAGTCTCCTTTCTCGCTCTTAATTTCTTCTTCCCAGAGGCTCTTTCAGTCTACAAATTTGTGTCCTGTTCTAGAAGTTTTTCTGGTATTTCCTTTTATTCTTTTCTCTTTTATTCTTCCTGAAACTTGTATTCTTTGGTTATTAGGGTTCCGTTAATTATCTTCCTATTTCCCATCTCTTGATTCTCTGCTTTCTGGGGAATTGCCTCCATTTTATCTTTAACTCTTCCATGGAGTTTTTCATTTTTATCCATCAGTTTCCCAGAGCTCTTTTTTCTCTGAATATTTCTGTAATACATTCTACTCCTGTTTGGTGGATGCTGTGTATATTGGGGGGGCAGGGGGCGCACACATGCATGGTGGTCTCTGTGTGTTGTTTCTGTTTGTTCCAAATTCTTTTCGATTCTTAAGTGCCTCGCAATATTATCCAATTTAATCCTCACAATGGCCCTGTAATCCCCATTTTCCAATAAGGAAACAGATGCAGGAGAGTTAAGTAATGACACACGGTCATAGAATTAGACAGCAGCGGAGCTGGGATTCGAACCCGGCAGTCTTGAGGTGCTTGAGTTTACACTGATAGCCTCTGCACTGTAATGTTTCTGCATCGTTAAGTTCCAGAATGATTAGCTAGGACAGGGGCAAGGACAGAGTCCTACAGGATGTCGTTGGAGGCCTCCCTCTCAGCTGACATCAGTCCATTCATCGCCAGTTCTTGTTCAACTAGTTACAAATCTACTTTCATGCCATAGTTCTCTCCCGTGTGCACGGGATACAGTAGTCTTGGTCATAGGACCCCAGAAGTTCAAGGCCTGAGACAGCAAGAGGGATCCGATGGGACACTGGCTGTAGAGTGATGCTGACCTGAGATAAAAACCTGTCTCCTCCTGCCCCTGGCTGTGTGGCTATGGCAAATGAGTTCAGCCTCTCTGGATTTCAGTTTCTGCTACAAAATGGGGAGAATGATATTTAACTTGCTGAGTGGTTGTCAAGATTCAAGGTAAAGTACTTAGTGCACTGCAGGCCTTCGATAAAGGGTGGCTGTTGTGCCAGTCTAGTAATCCTTTCAAAGAACGTAGTGCATTAAGATGGCTGGTTTATTTTCATGAACTCTTGCTAACTCTATAATTGTTTCCTCAGCTTCTTAGAGTTCACAAAGAAGCCATTTGATAACATGTTCTAGAATTTTGCCTTGAATGAACATCAAGATCACCAGCTTGTAGCTTTTGGCGCTCAGTACAATTTTTTTGAAAATTAGAACAATGTTTGCCTGTCTTCACTCTTCCATCAACTTCACTATTCACAAGAGGCCTCGAGTATCATTGAAATCTGTTTGCAGGTTTCCTTTGTGTTCCCGAGTATAATCTGTCTAGACAAGGAGACTCGAGCTCCTTTGCAATGGCCGTATCTCTCTCCGAGCCTGTGTTGGCTTTCATTTCCTTCAGACCATTGTTTGTTCTCCTCTTTCCCATCTCGTTGCCGTTCTCCTTGCGGAGAAAACAGAAGTAAAGGAGGAGTTCGGCGGTTCCACTTTTCCTTCTCACACCTCCTGTTGCTGTTTACATCAGTCACCAGGAAGAGCCCGCAGTTCCCCACAGATGCGTGTTCCCGCATGGCTCTGCACACCGCCTACTCTGTTCTCTCTTCCTCTTCTTTCCGCCCGTGAGACCCCTCAACTGACTGCACTTGCTCGTCCATTTCCCAGTAGCCTCACTCTCTTCTCTGAACATTTTCTTCCCTTATTTCTTGGGCCGTGTCCTGAGGATACTGTTTCCTCCGCAGCCCACCTTCACTGCTTGTTTCTCCTGTCTGCCTTGGGCCCTAGGGGTGGCGTAGGCATGTCTCTGGCTTCCCTGACCCACTGGTTTCCTTTCCTTCATCTACAGCCTCTCCTCCTTTGGCATTTATTTTTCAGCTACATGGGTTAAACAAATAAATGAGGAGTGGGCTGGCTGGATTCAGATACCCAAACACTGTTATCGGGAATTTTCTCTCTCACACCTGCCTTCTCTGTCCTGTTTGGTCTCATCTCTCCATCTCAAGCCTCCATTTCTGTTTATCTCTGTTTTCTGCTTCGTCTTATTTCCCCCAGAGGGAAGCTGTGTGTTTTCCTCTGTGGTGGCAGAGAGGGTATCTCTATCAGCAGCCTGTCTGGCTCACTGGAAAGAGAGGCCCTTCTCTCCAGCCAGCCAGAAAGCTCGACCTCCTTCTCACTGAGCTCCCTCCTACCAGGAGCCCACCGCGGGGGCGGGGCGGGGCAGGGGCGGGGGCGGGGGCGGGCTGCAGGAGGAAAGTCAGGGAGCTGCGCTGGTGCCACCGAAAGGAAGCCTGGGCGCCTGGCAGACCAGAGCCATGGTGGTGGGAGGGGGGTTTCTGTGTAGCCCTTCATGGTATACTTGGTAAGAGTCACACCTAAAAGTGAGTAAAAATCATAGTAAATTGGTAAGGCTTTATTTTCCAATGACCTCAGTTACCCTTGGAGAAATATTAAGAATTGACATGAAATTGAATGAATAGCCCAGTTACAAGCTCTTGTGGTTTAGAATAGAGACAATCTGATTTCAAATTATTTCATAGGCAGTTAATAAGGACAGTATGAGGTTGTTTATAATCTTGTTTTTAAACTACTTCAGATTTTACATGCCTGACTTTGAAAATCTTAAGTCTTTTTTGTTTTCAAGGAAAAATATTAACACCACAATTATTTTATAGCTAGACAGATGAGTTTCCAGCAGCAGCTTAATCGAGTGATGGTCCGCATCTGTAACTTAGTTGATGCTATTCCTGACGATGAACTGAAAGCATTGGATTGTGGGAATGACCTGCTCCAGCAGCGGGACATAAGGTGTGTTGATTTTTCTTCTTCTGGAGTGGACCCGACTGCATTTCCATCACTCTACAGAAATGTACAAGGCAAAAGTTTCAGGCATTCTGAACAGGATAAATTGTCACTATGTTTTAAATTTATTTATTTAGTTTTTCAAATTGTTCCTTTAGTATTTGTATCCAGATTTTTTTAATTGGAAAAAAGAGGGTGTATTTTGCCGCACTTTGGGATGAGAACTCAAGCTATACTTGTGTGGCCTCCCATGGTAGACGACTCACCCTTCATACGGCGTTGTGTGTTTTCCCTTCAGAAGGAAACTCCTGGCTGAAGCAGGTTTTAACCCGGACGACGCCAGTGTTCTTGGCTCAGTGTGGAGGTGCCGGCCTGGTGAAGGTGTTGACCCCATGGTGTACACGGCTTCTGGTTCCTCGCCGTATGCCTTTCCGAAGGGCGATTTCTGCCCTACAGGGAGTTCTGATGAGTTAAATTTTCTCCCCATTTCTTCAAATTCAATTTCTTCTGGTGAGCGTATAGTGACTACTACCCCAGGAAAGACAGGATTCTCAGCCACCAAGAAGAATCTCTTTGAAAGACCATTATTCAATTCCCATTTACAGAAGTCCTTTGTAAGTAGCAACTGGGCTGAAACCCCAAGGACAGAAAAAAGTAATGAGAGCTCTCGTTTCCCAGGAAATGTACTCACAAGCACTGCTGTGAAAGATCAGAACAAACATACTGCTTCAATAGATGACTTAGAAAGAGAAATGCAGGCTTCCGATGAGATTGATAATTTTGACATCGAGGACTTAGATGATGATGATGAGTGGGAAAATATAATGCTTAACTTAGCAGCCAGCAAATCATCCACAGCTGCCTACTGTCAACCTATTAAAGAAGGTCGGCCAGTTAAATCAGTATCAGAAAGAATTTCTCCAGCCAGGACAACCTTTCTTCCAGCAACATTTACTGCTCAAAATAAAAACTTCTCAGAGTCAATACAGAATTACCCTGGTAAGTTTAAAGTAAATTGAATGCTTACATTTTACATGAAAACAAGACTGTTCAAAATTGGAATTGTGTAAGAAAAACCATAGCAAGTCATCATTGCCTGAAAACTACATTGTTCCTATGCAAATTTCTGCTGATAATATGAATTACAAATCACATTTTCAAAAGCAAGTCGCTCTTTTGTCTGTAGCAGCTGTAGTTTTATAAAATGTATAATTATAACCTATTGTAGTGAGGCTCTAAAGTCAATACAATGTGCTTTGCCTTTAAATTAACATTTTCTTTAGTGCCTAAAGCAATAAAGCTCACGAGGACCAGGTTTTTAATATTTTGGGGGATGCACGAAAGCAAAGCTGAATTTATATGTTAAAAATGTAAGTGTATATTTTTAGAATTCTGGGTTGATGAGAACTGATCAATTTATCAAGTAGAGAAATGTTTTATGTCTTAAAATATTAAAATATAGGGCAGTCTAAGAAAGATATGAAGTCAAATTTCTTAAATCAATCAAATGATTACTTTTGGCCTGAAATCCTTTAAATTCATTCAACAAATAGTTCCTGTGAGCATGTTTTGCTCTAGATTCTGATACTAGATAAATAATAGTTCCTGCCCTCTTGGAGCTCACAGTGTAGTGAGGGAAGTTTTTGGAGGAGTGAAATTAGCCTCTATAAAGGGTGAGGAGAAAAGCCAAAATTAATTTAAAAACCTTACATCAACCCTATAAAACTATCACAAAGTGGTTTTTTTTTTTTTAGCTGAAACAAGTTCAGATGGGCGAAGTTCTATAAACTACAGCCCTCTCTATTTTTGCTGTTAATGACTTAATACCACAGAGGTAGTTCTTTTAGTTACGCTGTTGACCTTTAAAACAGCCATTAATGGATTTATTTTTGTATCGTGTTAGAATGTGTCATGCCTGACGGTCGCAATTATCTTTGAGACAGTTGAGTGTTGGGAATGGAGTAACTGCCAACACTGGTGTCTGATCTCCTCTTGTTCCCTATTAACAGAAATAGGGGAGTCAGGAGATAGGCAGATTTGGAGAAAAGAGGAGGAGGCCTATTTCAAGACTTGTTGAGCTTCCAGTGTTGAGCAGTCATTCAGGTAGAAATGCTTGCGGACAGTTGGACATGCATATAGGAATGCAGTGTAGGAGCAGACCGTTGGATCTGAAGAGAGAGATCCAGGCCTTCTGTGCACACAGGTGATGCTTAAGATCACAGGACTAGGAGAACTCCAAAAAGGACGTCTAAGGAACCCAGCCCCAAATGTCCGAAAGACTACCAAATTTAAGGGACAGGTGGAGGAAGTGGAACCAAGAAAGCGAATTTAAACACACAGTTGTCTGAAAGGTCAGTCAAAAGTGGAGAGGAAGGAGGAGACGAAGAGCAGTGGCTCAGTGGGTTGAGCATTGACCTGCAGAGAGACAGGTTGCTGGTTCAGTTCCCAGTCGGGGCATGTGCCTGGACTGTGGGTTTGGTTCCGGTCGCGGCACGTACGAGAAGCAACCAATCGATGTTTCTCACATCGATTTTTCTCTTCCTCTTCTCCAACCCTTCCCTTTTCTCTAAAAATAAATAAATAAAATATTTCTTAAACAAAGACTAGTGGTAGTGCTGTAGAAAAATCAAGGAAAGACTTGAATGTGGCCTTTAGGAAGGCTGAGTGTGTGCGAGGGTACTCGTATAGGAGGGTATTCTGGGAATGGTTAAAGACAGAATTTGCTGGGGGGGGAGTTATGCCAAGACCATGCAGGGCAAAGGGTACACGCCGACCCTGACTTGTGACATTAATGCACTGATTTTTTTTCTTACCGTTGATTATTTTCTTAGACCAGTCGGTGCAACACTTAGCATCCAGAAATGTGAAACACAAGCATTTCCAAAGTCTTGATTTTCCTCATACGAAAGAAATGATGAAGATTTTTCATAAAAAATTTGGCCTGCATAATTTTAGAACTAATCAGCTAGAGGCGATCAATGCTGCGCTGCTTGGTGAAGACTGTTTTATCTTAATGCCCACTGGTATGTATTTTTAGATATGAATTGGCAGGCATCCATGGCAGATGTGAAATGAGAGCCCTTTAATAGAAATGAAAAGAACGCCGACACAGTGTTTCTATCGTTTCTGGGCCTCCGAGCCCCTGTGCCACAGGAAGACGGTGTGTTACCTCATTGCCTCTATTCTAGTTGTTGACGTGATAACATCTATAGCCCTGTAAGATGTTCGCCTCAGAGCTCATTGTGTTGAACTGATCTAGAATTTCTCTGGGAATTTTTCTTTTTTCTTCTTTTCCCTAGTCTACGTTAGTCTGAAACATGAGTAAAAAGGTAGGACCGGAATAGAGACATGACCATTCCCAGCCGTGGATTTGGTGCAGCCTGCTGTCGCACGGCGGTTGAAATCGTCAGCTCTGGGGGGGGTGGCTGGGGCCTAAAGCGCAGCCTTGCATTTCCTAGCGGAGCCACCTTGAGCAAGGCACTCCGCTCCCTGAGCCCCGTGCGTGCAGGGGGGTGCTCACAAAGTTGCTGCTACATGGAGCGTCGTGGGCGTTAAATGCAAAACACGTAGTGTAGCTCTTTCTTGGCCTGTTTTGAAGACATCCAGAACTCTTCATTGTGCTATGAATGTGTATGACAGCCGTTGGATGGTTTACAGTCATCCGAGGCAGAATAGTGAGTAAGCAGTTAGGGTAAGCAGCGCGGGAGTTTGGAGCTCCAGTGCTTGCGCCTGTGGTCTGCCTCTGTCCCTCATTCTCCTTGTCGTCACCTTAAGCAATTCGCTGTTGCTGTCATTGTTAAATGGTGTTGCCTGGGCATCTGAATTTTTTCAAACTGATTTTAAAATTTAGGTGATGTCAGCTCAGTAGTCATTTCCTATCACATTAACTTGTTTGCTCTGCGTCGACTCCAAGACGGGACTTCAGAACGAAGGCAGGGAATGACCCTGGCTAGTGCAGTGGTCCTTTAGGGTTCCCAGGGGGTGTTTTTAAGTGTCCTTCCACACAATTTCAACCTCTTGACAAATACTTATTCCAAATAGTTTCTTTTAGACAAAAAAATCTATAAACCCCTGATCTAGTACATTTTGTCACGGTGAGGTTAAATGGCATGTCTAAGTCACATAACGTAGTACGTGGTAGAGCAGAGACTAGGATTCAGCTTCCTGCTCTTGCCTTGGCATTTACACACACACACACATGCGCGCGCGTGCACACACACCCCAAGTGAAATTCACTTACTGCATGTGCAGAAAAAATGGCACATGGTGTTTTTTAAAAAATCGGAAACTGCCTGGCATGAGTTTCTACCCCTAGTAGACTGGTGGAGTTGAAGACTGGGGATTAATCACTTGAGTTACCTCTCAGCGTGTACTGGTGGTCTTGCCATTTTGAATCAGAGTTACATGGAGAGAGTCCACCCACCCATTTGTCTCTAAACTTCTTTCCATTCATCTTCTGTCAGTGCACACAGATGCAGATCTACCTTCTTTTCATTCAAAGGAACAGGGGTTCGGGGAACAAGAGCTCTAACATTCATGCCAGAGGTTTAATGGCGCTGAGATTCTAGATGTGCCCTTTAGGTCATCAAAGAAATGTTAAACCATGGGAACTTTGGGTTTTAGTGGTCTATATTTTATCACAGTTTAACTCTTTAAAAATGAAATATTATATAAAATAATTATTTTAATTCTAGTGTGATATCTAGAGTACCCCTTGTACTGCATTTGCATTTCCCAAGTAAACTTTTGAACAGTTCTGTTGCATTTAATTTTCCTGCCCTGATTCATTCTTTTGCTATCATATATACCTACATGAGATGCCCTAAAAGGTAATCTTTACACACTTTTCAATTGCCTAAGTATCTTGGCTCATTCAAATATGGCAAATTGTGGGCATCGTGGGGAATATCACTTGATGTCCTATTAATTGATTACCTTAAATATTATATGTGGTTTGCTGTGTAACTTTTGCCTTCATGCTCTCATGCTGGAACCTGATGGGTATTTTTTTGTCATTTCTCTTTCAGGAGGTGGTAAGAGTTTGTGTTACCAGCTCCCTGCCTGTGTGTCTCCTGGTGTCACTATTGTCATTTCTCCCTTGAGGTCACTTATAGTTGATCAAGTCCAAAAGCTGACTTCATTGGATGTAAGTTGAAAGCAAAACACTACCAATTATAATAAAAATACTAATGAAGACATGACTTAAAAATAATTACATTTTAACACTCTGGGCTAACTTTTCTATTTGTTTATGAATTATAAGAATAAAGTTCAGGAGTGACGTTAAGTTGTACCTTAAGCACAAGCCTGAAAATTCTGATACAGATAACCATCTGTAGTTCAATCTGACTTTACTCTAGAAGAATGTATTTTGCTGATATAAACTTTTTTTCACTAATACAAAAGGATTTCTTTTTGTTACTACTGCCAGGTCAGTGTAAGTTCTTGGCTTACTTGCTTCATACCTTAATGCGCACACACATGCGTGCGTCCACCCACATGTCCTTTCCCTCCTGGCTGAGGTTAAGAACGTGTATGAAGGCCTCCCACTAAGTCCTGCATGTCGTGATCACACAGAACTGTTCTCGGGGTGATGAGACACCAGCGTTCAAGAAGACCCCTGTTTGATTTTTGTTGCAAAGAATGTCTTAGTGCGGCGGGGCGGGGTGGGGGGGGGGGAAGGGATTGCCCAACCGTGCGTGACGTTACCGCCCTGTCATCATCGGTCTTATGCAGTGAAACCCCAAACATGCATTTACCTTAAAAACAGTGTAGCTATACAGTAGGGGTGGATCTCTTTGATGCTAAATTCACATTTATCTTACAAATATGAGCAGCAAAGGAAATAAAGCACAGAGGAAAAAAAGAAAAGGTAAACAATGAGAAGAATATTTTGAATTATAGTTACTGAGGGTTTTTTTTAATGTATACTGATTGTTTCTTATTTTTATTACATTGAGATTGTCTTTCCTTTCACAGATTTGACATACAACTTGTAAAATATTTATAAAAGCTAAGGGTAAAATATAAGCTTCAGTCTGATTAATGTATAAAATTTTAATTATTTATTCCTTTTATGCTTAGATTCCAGCTACATATCTGACAGGCGATAAGACGGACTCAGAAGCTACAAGTATTTACCTCCAACTATCAAAAAAAGACCCGATTATAAAACTCCTCTATGTTACTCCAGAGAAGGTTTGTGTATTATCATTGTTTTCAAATGCGATGTGAACTCTGTGTTGGAATACAGTTCAGTTCTCCCGCCTGAGTAGGGAAAAACCCAGCATTACTCTCCTGTGTTTCTCTCCTTTACTACTCACTTAGAATTCTTCATTCTGATCACCAGATGTGTGGAGGTTTTTTCCTCACACCAAGCAATTCTTGTGGCACCAGCCGGGCGTCCCGAGTTTGCCTCGATTCTGACCCTGCCTGTGCAGAGACAGTGTCAGATCCCCCAGGTTAAGGGCTCCGACCCACAACATGGTTCCCACCCCACTTTCGATGCCAGTCACAGGTGGGTCCCCAGGTTACCCACAACTTCTGCCAGATTTGACTACAAATCAGAAGTTTCTATGACTCCCTCCTCAGGTTTGATTAATGTGCCATAGAATTCAGAGCAACACTTAAGTGTACCGGTTTATTAAAGAACACGACAGAGGGATACAGGTGAACAGCCAGGTGAAGAGATACATCGGGTGAGGTCTGAGGCAGTCCTGAACCCAGGAGCTTCCATCCCCGTGCAGTTGCGGGGTGCCCCCCTCCTGGGGTGGGCGTGGTTGCCGACCTGTAAACTGAGCCCCATGCTTCCGGGATTTTCTGGAGGCTTCGTCATGTAGGAAGTTGATGAGTTATCAACTCCGTTTCTAGCCCCTCCCCCCTGTTGGAGGATGGGGGTGGGGTGAAGGTTCCCAGCTTCCCACCATGGCTCGGTCGTCCTGGTGACCAGCCCGTGCAGGAGCCCCCCGGGGTCTCCTCCGCACAGTCGCAGGTGCTCCAGGTGCCTTTGGCCCTTAGGACATTCCGGGGCTCCAGGAGCTCGGTGCCAGGAACTAGGAGTGGAAACCATTATATTTTTTCTATTATCTCCTAAAAGCTGACTAGAATACATAGATTTTTAAATTTTGACACATTTGTGAAATACAGTATAATGCAAAAAATTCCCGTATGACTTTTATCCAGAAACTCCAAATAGTAACATTTTACTATAATTGCTTTACCATTCTTTCTCTATATTTTTCCCTTAAACATTTGAAAGTTGCAGGTATGAGATCTTTTTAATCCTAAGTACTTAGCCATGCATTTCCTAAAAATAAGGAATTTTCTTACCTCAGGAGAATTATCAAAATCAGAAAATGGTCATTGATACCACACTGTCACTTAGTCTATATACCTTATTTCAGTTTCACTGGTTGTCCTAATGGTGTCCTTTATAATGAAAGAAAATGCATAATCTAGGGATTATGCATTGCATTTAGTCGTCATGTGTCTTCAAACAATTTATCTCTATGTCTTTCATGATTTTGGTAGTTTTGAAGGGAGAAAGCCAGTTATTTTGAGGACCATCCCTCAGTTTGAGTTTATCTTACGTGTCCTCGCGATTCAAGTTACTCAGCTCAGCAGGAGTGTCGGAGTGGCGGTGCGTTCTCGGTGCAGCCCCGTCAGGAGGCACTGATGTCCACTCGTTCTGTGAGGGGTGTCTGCCGATCTCCTCACTGTAAAGTCACTTTTTTCTCTTTTTTTAATACTGTATTTTTTTGGTGATTTTTTCCCTTTGTAATAGTAGGTGTTTTGTTGTCTGAGACTAAATACCCTGTTACTCATCAGACTTGACCTAACAGTTTTATCATCCATCAGTTGCTATTACGGTGGGTGCCAGAAGACCTTTCTAATTTAGTTTGTATTTTACTGTAACGAAGAGCTTTTCCTTTTACCTATATATTTTTTTGTATTAGTATGAAATTGTGGATTTTTAATTTACATAGTGGGCTCTGCTCGATTTTTGTTATGTAACTTAATGTTCTAATTGTCCGAGATTTGGCCAGCGGAAGACTCCATCAAACTGGCCTCTGTGTCCTTTTGACACGTCTCTCAAGATGTGGGTGCTGGATGTGGTCATTGATCCTAGGATGTCACTGTTTCTAGGCCTTGCCATGGACAGAGCTGCAAAATATATACATACATACGAATATATGTAGATACACATATATGTGTGTATGTAATATACACATATAAATGTGTGTGTGTGTGTGTGTGTACCCCCCCCAAAGTATGTGCATGCAAGTAAAATGTCTGTAACACTGTCCCCAGTGTAAACATGGCCCTCAGGTGTATCATGGTCCAGAAAAAAGCTTTAGAACCACTGACCTGATACGTAACTATTTGCTAACCATTTGAAAATGTCTCTGCTATTTTCTGTTACTTCTGCTAATTCTCATCATAGGTTAAAATAAGAACTAATTTTCTCTGAAGGTTTTAACGCAGCTTAAGTGGTAGTGGAACTTAAAGACGACAGAATCCTTGAGGTGATGTGGTGTTTAAATGTTTAATCCATTTCTGATCTAGGTCTGTGCGAGCAACAGACTAATTTCTACTCTGGAGAATCTGTACGACAGGAAGCTCTTGGCACGGTTTGTTATTGATGAAGCACACTGTGTCAGTCAGGTAAATGCTGTTTTTTATGTCTTGAAATATCGATAAATATATACCGCCAACTCTCTGTATATTTTCAGAATAGGAGGGGGGAAAACATTGGATGAATTACTGTGCTATTTCACTGAAGAACAGGTGGTTCGGGGCGCAGTGAGCAGTGTGCTTTGCATAGAGGGAAGATTCTAACAGCCTGAAAAGCAGTGTGTTTTTCCCATCCAGTGGGGACATGATTTCCGTCAAGATTACAAAAGGATGAATATGCTGCGCCAGAAGTTCCCCTCTGTTCCGGTGATGGCTCTTACTGCCACAGCCAACCCCAGGGTGCAGAAGGACATCCTCACTCAGCTGAAGATCCTCAGACCTCAAGTGTAAGTTGTGGAAAGGCATGAATTTGAAGCCCCGGGGCAGTGGGTCTCAGAAGGCTGTACGTTATAACCTCCTACGGAGCTTTCCACATCCCAATGCCCGGTTGTGCCTGGGGCCAGTTAAGTCAGAATTTGGGGGCTGGGAGTCAATATGTTTTTAAAAATCTCCTAGTGATTCCAATATGCAGCAAAATTTGGAAACCAGGGCCCGGGGCTTTTCTTCCCTACTCAAATGAGAACTTTCTCCTGGTACCTATTTTGTAAGTAGGGGTGAAGTGCACGCTGTCCCTGTTAGACCTGGGGTCACCCCAGTAATACGTTCGCTTTTATTTGTCTGACTTTGACCCCTGCCCATCTTAGAGTGTATACTGTGACGTGAACCCGTGGCCTTGCTCTGTCCTCTCTCCCTGAGGTCCCAGTGACTTCCAGAATGTTGAAAACAGCCCAGAAACTATGTATAACAGCTTTTTTACTCCGTTTCCATCTCAACAGCAAAGGGCTTCTTGTTGGCACCAAATCCATAATTGTTCAATAATAAAAACTACAGCAGAAACATAGCCCACGTATATAGGCTGCGCTGGGTCATTTTGTACCTCTGCACGCGCTCGTGGACACGGACGCACTCTCTGATAGGTTCGTTCACTCAGCACATAATAGCTGTTGTGTACAAAGGTTAAAATATTTTTTCCTTCCAATCTGTTAATGGTACTTTGAGTTTGAGGAATGCCTGAAGGAATAATGATTAAAATATTGGGGTGGTTTTTACAAGCACACCTTTCTGTTCATCTGGAAATCAAGAGACTGCGCTGGCTCTGTGAACACTGTAATCAGTAGAAACGGTAGCAGCCTCTCTCAGCGGGCCGTCGGAACTGGAAGTGCTGTGCTGCACGGAGGACGCGGGGGTCCCAGAGAAAGGGGGCTACAGAGAGGCCTCTGCAGATGAAAGTGGCGTTCTTGGTTTGTGACTTCTAAACAGTGTGTGTGTGTGTGTGTGTGTGTGTGTGTGTGTGTGTGTGTGTGATCACAAAACTTAGCATGGAATGTTTTCATCCCCCTTGCAGAGGGGTGTTTGTATAAAATGGGTGGGGTATGCTTTGGTTCCATAATTGATAAACATCACATATATTTAAGGTGTCATATTTCAGGTGTTAGTGAATGACCTGCATGCTAGAAATTTGCTTCTACAAATACTACCTTGGTCTATGAAAGCTTTTCTTTTTTTAATAGACAATGTTTTTAGTGTTTTTTCCATCAACTTATGCCAGAAGCAATCTTCTGTTCTTTTAGATTAGTAAGCTTAATTTGCCAAATGCCCGTAGTTAAAAGAAAATTATATAAGTTCAATTCACCTTTTGGATTACTCTTTGTAAGTACAGAATTTGTCATTTTTGGTTGAGTAAATGTTGCACATGTATGTTTGGAGGCAGACACCTTTCATATCTTTCCCTAGTGGTGTGGGGAAGGGATCTGCTTGCTAAAGCAATAGATTATCCATTTCCTGAGTGCAGCATGTGGTGCCCTGTGCATAATTGGCACTAGGTAAGAATGAATAAATGAAACATATGGAGGAATTTTGGTAAATGTGGGTAAAATGTGGAAATTTGGGCAAGTGTTTAATATATTTGGCACTTCTATATTTGGGAAGGTTTAAATCCCTTAGTGGAAGTGAAAGTTTTAGCGAACACTTTTCTGGTACAGTTTTTTCTTAATCCTCTCTCCTGCCGACAAGCCCCAGGTTTGGACTGAGTTTGCCCGGTGCGGGTGTGCCGTGGGCCTGGAGGAGCCAGGTGTCTGCAGGGTGGGAGCCGCGGCCCCCTGCTCCTCTCCGGATGCTGGTCTGTGATATTATTCTTCCTTTTGGGAAATACAAGGTAGATAATAAAATAGACTTTATTCCTTTTCCTTAACATTTTAAAATACGAACTGGGAAAATGAGACAGACATATGGCCAGTTCACGTAACAATAATAAGCCCTGGCTGGTGTGGCTCAGTAGATTGCATGCTGGCCTGCAAGCAGAAAGGTCGCCAGTTCAGTTCCGGGTCAGGGCACATGCCTGGGTTGCAGGCCAGGTCCCCAGTTGGGAGCGTGCAAGAGGCAACCAGTCAGTCTGTCTCTCACACATCAATGTTTCTGTCCTCCCTCCCTCCCCCTCTATCTAAAAACAAATAAAATCTTAAGAAAATAAAAGACAACATTAAAAACATGTACTTGCATGTAGGACAACTCAGAAAAGTAAAGTGAGTGGATGGAATCTACTGTATGATGAAAATGCTATAAACATTTAGCTGCCATCAATTAGAAATTAACTCGCTTTTTAAAAATCCAAATACTTGCATTGTCCACAGAAATTTAGCAGGTTTATTTATAGTTGTTACGAAGTTGAGCTGCTGAAACTTGTTCACTGTAACGTTTTGATTTGCATTAATGCTCTATGTTCCTACATTTACACTAAAAAAATCACAAATGAAAATGGAAAAACTGTTAATACCTGACTTCTGTACCCCATTTTCCACTTGCAATCATATGCTTAGGTACCTTTTGACCCCATGGAAAAAAAATCTAATGTTCATAACTACCAGTAACGGAAAGAAGAGACATTCTTTTTTTTTTTTTAATAAAATCTTTCTTACCATAGTGGACTCTTAAGCACGTTCTCCACGCACACGGTGTGCTAGCTGGATGTCTTTTGGCATAATTGTTAGACATTCGGCATGGATAGGCGGTGTCTTCAAAAACGCCAACCTGCTAAGGCCTCACTGGCCTCCTGCAAAGTGCCAGTAGCGGCGCTCTGGAATCACAGGTGCGTGTTTCAAGTCTTGAGCAATGTCTTGCACCAGACACTGGAAGGGAAGTTTGCAAATCACAAGTTCAGTGGACTTGCACGGAGGGCCACAATGTCAGGCCTGTAACGATAAGGTTTCCTCGCCCTTCCAACAGAGGGCGCCCTCTCGAATGTGGCTTCGACGGTGCTGTGCCACCGGTTGGTTTGCGGACCCTCTGCTCTGCAGGAGCCTGGTATAGAGACCTGTCTCCTCACCACCTTCCCACCCCACAGCCCGTCTCCTTCCGCGGGAGCTCAACAACCTAGAGGCTGCACTGGTCAGAGGGTGATGGCGGCATGGCAGTGGCCGCAAAAACAATTCAAGTGTATTTTTGAAAAAATTCTTAAGCATAAGTTTTGACTGGAAATGTGTAACTTAATGGAGATAGGACTTTTTTTTCTTCAGTTAGTTTTATATATCTATAAATGAATTCAGTCAGCTCAGATTTCTTTTATAGATGTAAGCATTGAGAAACATCGCTCACATAAACATGGAGATGGGAATGGAAAGCATTTTATTGTAGTAATAACACTCAATTACTTGATTTCCTTCTGACGTATATGCCAAAATTACATAATGAGCTGTCCTGGAAATTTTAATGATATTTCAGCTGAAAACTCAATGAGGTTCTCCAAATTTTGTTGAAAGCAAAGAATTATACACCATCTGACTGGTAAAATAAGTCAGGTCATTAGTTACTCACTTTTTCTGGGAAATATCCCCTTTAAAAGTGCATCACCGAGACTTAACCAGTGACCATTAAGTATTCTTGTCACTCTCCACAGAAAGGAACCTTGTATCCAATATATTCAGAAGAGTCGGGGAATCAGAACACTTTAAGTTTCAGTACACCTCTCCTGATAGATGTTTGAAATGTTTTTTATCATGATACGCCTTTAAATTACAGTTTGGTCAAAGCTTTGTGGCTGTTGGTTAGCACTTTCAGGTAATGGGACATGACCGCTGTATTACCTGATTGGGGGTCCAGTTTTTGTTGCCAGCCCAATCAGCCAAGTCAGACTTATTTTCTTACATACAAAAAAGAAAATCCTGACCGTTTTTCAATTCACATAAACTAGCACATATCCTCATGGCAACTGTTTCAGTTCCGAAAGCAGCAAGAGCTGGGCACAGATTGATTGCATTTCCTTACACGTCACTTGAAATGACGTGAGTTTGACACCCTGGACCTGGTGATACTCTTGATTTCTGATGGCGGCATCCATATTCCCTTAATGAAATACAGTGGAGTCCAATGCTTCTCTTCAAAAACAAAATCTTAAGATGTAATTGACACACCATAAAATTCACCCATGTAAAGGTTACAGTTTAGTGGGTGGGTTTTTTAACTTTTATTTTTACTTTTTTATTTTCACAGAGTTGTGTGACCATCCCCCAATGTAGGGACATTTGCATTTTAGGTATCCATTTATCAGTTGATGGCAGCTGTCTAACTAGACTGTGGTAATTCTAAACATACCACTTTCCAGCAGGCCGAGTGAGATTTGTTCTATGTAATAAACTCCGAGAGGCTTCTCGTTTTCATTTTAACAAATTGTGGGAGTGCTGCTTTTAGTCAGTGGCCCATCTGCCGCAGTTTTAGCAGGCCATTTGCTGTAGAGATGCTTGTTTTGGTTTTAATTGGATCTGAGATCCACAACTTGATGTCCTAATATCATGTCATTTTATTATTTTTAGTCAAAAGTAATTTGCCTGACTAAAGTAGTAAACATTTCAAAGTTTTCCTCAATTATGTCACAAATCAAAAAACGTTCAGATTTTTATGTCAAATGTTTTAACGTACCAGTTTTTTTGAGATACAATTCACATACCATACAATTCACCTACTTGAAATGTACCATGCAGTGGTTTGTAGTGCAGTCAGCTGGGCAGCCGTCGCCATAGTTCATTTTAGAGCGTTTTCCTTGTCCTGCTGAAACACCCACAGCCGAGCCGTGGCCGCTGTAGCTCAGTGGATTGAGCACGGGCTGCGAACCAAAGGGTCACTGGTTCAGTTCCCAGTCAGGGCATGTGCCTGGGTTGCGGGGCCAGGTCCCCAGTGGGGGGCCATGTGAGAGACAACCACACATTGATATTTCTGTCCCTCTCTTTCTCTCTCCCTCCCCTCTCTAAAAATAAATAAGTAAAATCTTTTTTTAAAAAACCTACCCATATCCATTGGTAGTCAGTCCCCCTCTTCCCTCGCTCACACTCGCTGTGAGACACAGGCAACCACTGATCTGCCTTCTGTCTTTAGATTCGCCTGTTGTGCGACACCTTTTATAAATAGAATCATTAGACAGGTTGTCTTTTGTGACTGGCTTCTTGCATTTAGCATAATGTTTTCAACGTTTAGTGTTGAATAGTATTCAACAATGCTATTGCATGGGTATGGCACGTTTTATTTGTCCGTTGGTGAATATTGGGGTTGTTGACCTTTTTTGGCTATTATGGGTAACGCTGCTGTGAACTTTCACGTACCAGTCTTTGTTTGGGCTTGTGCTGTCATTTCTCGTGCATCCAGACCCGGGAGTGGGGTTGGTGGGGCGTGTGGTGACTCTGTGTTTGACCTTCTGCCGAACTGCCGACTGTTTTCCAAAGTAGCCGCGCCGTTTTGTGTTCCCACCAGCATTGCTGTGGTCTTGTCTTTTTTGCTGAGACTGCTTTTACTTTTATTTTTTAACGTGTGAAGCATTGTTCTGTAATTAAAGTGTGGTATACACTATAGGAAGGGGCAATAAGGCCATTCTTGTGTAGAGCCATTTCAGCTTTCCTATTGGTAGAGAGACTCACACCAATCCCAGCTTAAGTCCAAATGAACTCAAATAAGTTTTGAGATGACAAACATCATTTGTATTCCTGAGCAATTCTTTTTATGCCATAATTGTATCAGGACTGCAGTCCATCCCCCTTGCCGTGGCAGTGGTTGTAAGTTTCAACGTAAGAAACATTCAAACGTATAGAGAATTGTTGTGAGTGTATTTGAGTCAAACTGACGACAATTGCTGGGAAGCAAAATCTCAACAGATTGAGAAATGCTTGGGACAGGGGTACTTTAAGACCTTATTTTATACATTACAGTCAAAGGAGGAGGCACAGGGGATTACAAGAAATCCGTTGGAAACAGGTGAGGGAGGCAGGAGAAAAGCAAAGTGGGGAAATCTCTGGGGTTGGATAAAAAGTAAAATGGAGAGACACATACTTCTTTTACATTGGTGGGGACACCGTAGGTAACAATGAAGGTTTACAGCACATGGAGGTGGTATGTGGGGGAACGAAGACCATGACTGCTGCGGTGGTCTCTGCTCTGGAGGGAGATTGTGCTCAGAGGGGTCTGGAAAAAGGAAATTATCTTGACTTCCCGAAGGCATGTTATCTTGGATGCAAACAAACAACAGACAGGCTCAGTTAAGGTAAAGATTGACCTTTGTTAGGGAAAGATACCAGCCCAGGACATGACGACCTGCCATGAACTGCTTTTAGTCAGTAAGGTTTCATTTCAGACCGTCTTTGTGGTCACTTCAGGTCTCTTGAGTTTGAACGGCCGCCACGCAGGCCTCCCCTGAGTTGTCAGGTTGGCATGTGGCCCCTTTTCTTCCATGTAAGCAGTGACCTGAGAACGATCAAAACAGTCCCTGGATTTATCAGTCTTTTATCTGCTGCCTTTTGGGCCACAATCTGCTGCACCTTCTTCGGCCATTCCAAGGACTAAAAGAAGCTTCCGAGTGTTCTGTATAAGTGATATCAGAGGAGGGATGGTTTTAAAGTGTTGTTAGACTGTCATCTCAAAAGGCTCAGAGCTGGGCCTTCTGTGCCAGGAGCTGGGGTGAAGGAAGGCACGTCCTCCAGTGAAAATCACCTTCTCTCCCAGCACCCTGCTCAGTACATCTGAAACCAGAACCTCCCAGTAAAGCCCGAAATCCTTCCTTCCTGCTGTTGTACCCTACCCTCAACGGAAATACGTGAAACACTGAAAAACATGAAGGCCCATCAAGGGTGTTTCTGGTTCTTCGATTAAAGAAAGTTTCACCTACACCCACACCCACACCCACACCCACACTGCAATTTTTTTGGTTTGGTGTCCTGGAGGTTTTTACACCCGGCACAGTGCACAGTAGTAAAGTTCAGAACGGGTCAAAAGTAGGGTTTGTTGTTGGAAAGTGGGGGGACAGTTGTAAAAGGGAAAAATGGGACAGGAGTAACCAACAGGATGTCTTGACTAGAAGAGCATTTGTAGGTCAGGCTTGTAGCGGAAAGTATGTGTAAACTGGAGGGTCTGGAAATCGATCCCTTCAAGACTGCCTTTGCTCCTGTGCTTTCAGAAAGCCCTTGTGACCCCCTAGGGGCATCCACACCCGATTGTGAGCTTCTGTAAAAGGGAGTTGGGCTGTGGTTTAAGGACTAAGCTGGGGGCAAACTTTGGGACTCCTGGGAATGGTTTGTCGGTACTATTTAAAGACAGAGGAAGAGGAGTTCAAGAAATCAGAGATAAAGGAAATATGAAACTGAGAGCTAATAGGTTTTCAGTAAGGATAGCCAACCATGGCCTGACGGGGAAGTCAGAGAGGGTGAGGTCTGAGAAAAGACAGGAGCAAAGACCAACCCCGGGGGCGGGGGTGGGGGAAGGTTACTGCGGCCTCCACGTGCAAGGCATTGGTTAGTCCTAAAACCAAACACATTTATCCTACCAATCGCTACAAAAGCTGGGCTAATCTGGATTTAGATACAAAGACAAAAAGCCAGTGGTTTGTAGTCCCCATGCTTCCTCCCTCTGATCTCTACACCTTGTAACACTGGGAGGTCTCGGGGCTCTGAGTTCTACTTGTTCTTCCTGCAAGAGATAGGTGGTGGGGCCTGGAGCAGTGCAGGGTCCCTCCAGGGCCAAGGATCCAGTCACAGTTCTGTCGCCTTTCTTTAGCTTTAAAAGCTTTGAGAAAACAGTTTTGGTAGAATGGTAATGGGGAACGGTACAACGGCGGCGCCGAGCACAACTGGGGTATGTGGTTAGTTGGCTGGGAGCAGAAGTGCCTCCTGAGAAACTGTCCCCGGAGGGAGAGAACGGAGGGGTCGGTGTTCCGTCTCGTGAGCTCAGGCGACAGTATTCAGTTTCACACAGCCTGATAATTAGGTGTGCACTGTGGAACATCAGCATTTAATTTTTGAGGGTGGCTAAAACTGTATTTTCTCATAACAAAATCTTATCTTTGGGACTTCTTTTAGGTTTACCATGAGCTTTAACAGACATAATCTGAAATACTATGTGTTACCAAAAAAGCCTAAAAAGGTGGCATACGATTGCTTAGAGTGGATCCGAAAGCATCACCCACGTGAGTACTGCCATGTGATGAATCATGTCTAGAAGATAAATGTCTTTCTAGTACCACAATAGAATATATAAAATTGCACATTAAACGTTTCTCATTATGATAGCACCGACTTGCTATTTATAGAGCAGAATATCGCAGCTCTCAGTTCTGGGTACTGTAAAATCTCATTTGATTTGATAACAATAAATCGTAACACGAAAATATTAAGTACTTCCTGCCACAGCCCTGTAATGCAGCCCGTGGCTTCAGTGCCTCTCCTCTGGCGGCCACGCTGCGTGCCTTAGACAGGGCCCTGTTTCGGTGCGCTCTCTCAGGTGCGTGTCTGCCTTTGAGCTGTGTTAGCCAAAACGACATTCTGAAATTCGTGGTGGTTTTCCACATAACCCACTTTTCAACGGGGAGTTTTTCTGTTAGGCATATTTATTTCATTTTTTTAGAACTTGGTGTACAAATTGGTTTGCACGAATCAAACAGTGCGAAGACAGACCGTGAAGAAGCCAGTAATTCCCCTCTCCAGGCAGCTCATATAAATAGCTCAGTAGGTGTGCACGTCTCTACCTCGGGCTGTGCCACAGAGAGGTGCCTTTTTCTTAACACCTTTTATTTTCTGACTTTAAAAACAACATAAAACAATAAATACAACACATGCGCGCTGAAGAACATTTAGAAAGCAGCCAAAGACAGAGCTCACCTCAAGGCAAGTCATTGCTACCATTTTGGTTTATTTTCTTCCAGTAATTTGTGTGTGCATTTTCCTCTTCATTAGCATACTATGTATATATACTGTGTTTCTACCCTCACTTAACCTGTTTTATCTCTTGAGCATTTCCCCGTGTCTTTTTAAACATGTAGAAAATACTTGATAATTATACTATATTTTATTTAATAATTTCCTGTCTTATTTAGTCCCCTAATGTTGGTCATTAAAATTTTTCTAATTCTAAAAATTCAAATAAAACTTTTTGCGTAAGTCCTTGTACTACTTTATTTTCTAGATTAGTCTTCTAGAAGGAAACTGAGTCAAAAGGCAGAGGCATTGCCATATGCTTTCTACAGAGGTAGTGTGAGCGTGCCCTCCCCTTCTACAGCCAACGTGACATGAAGCCCAGGGCTTGTCGGGGTTGTCTGAGGGAGGTGCAGGGACAGAGTCCAAGGTCACACCTCGCTGTTTTCAGTGCTCGTCAGTTCCTTGCGTGGATCTTTCTGCCCGTGTGATCTTCCTCGACTGTCAGAAAAGTACACAGGTCTACTCATGTTTCATAGATTTCAAAGAACATGATGTGAATTGTGTTGCTATTTGTGTTACAAGTCCTCACTTCTTGACAGATGACTCGGGGATAATTTACTGCCTCTCCAGGCGGGAATGCGACACGATGGCTGACACCCTGCAGAAGCACGGCCTCGCCGCGCTCGCCTATCACGCCGGGCTCAGCGACGGCGCCCGGGACGAAGTGCAGCACAAGTGGATCAATCAGGACGGCTGCCAGGTGACCGAGTTCAGGGCGCGCACACACACACACACACGCGCGTCAAATAAATTCCAGAGAATATGAGCAAACTTGCATGTGCAGAGTGAAAGTTGTTTTCACCGGAAGTAGTGAACATCAAAATAAGACTGGAATGGAAAAACATGTTTTTTTAAGACTTCTAAAATTGCCTTTTCTCTCTTAAATAAAAAAAAAATCTTTAATGGAGATATAATTCACAGACCATAAAATTCACCCTTTCACAGTTTATAAGCCAGTGCCCTGACCAGTGTGGCTCAGTGGCTTGAGTGCTGACCTACGAACAGAAAGGGCATGGGTTTGATTCCCTGGTCAGGGCACGTGCCTGGGTTGCAGGCCAGGTCCCCGGCTGGGGTAGGGGCGTATGAGAGGCAACCACACATTGATGTTTCTCTCTTTCTCCTTCCCTTCCCTTCTCTCTAAAAATAAATAAATAAAATCTTTTTTAAAATACACACAATGAAGAGCTTGTAAAAACCTCAAAAGAAAAACAGGGGTCTTAATAAATTACCCTATGGGCCCTCAAGAGACTGTTGGGTAGAAGAAACTACAAACGACTAAATTCAAATATTTTATTTTAAAGTGCAACTTCGCTAATAATCGAAAGAATTAAAATATGAAACAGAAACAATTTTCACTTCTCGTATTAGCAAGCTCTTACTAGCTGTTGGGGACGGCGCCGTGAGAGGCAGATCCCCACAAGGAGCCCTTCTGGAAGACGGTGTGGCGGGCTCCGCCAGGAGCCTCGGCCCTGCAGTGTGGGCGTGGAAGTGACAGCAGTGTTGTCTTGAAGAGTAAATACCCTCCAAGCTCTGTGCTGCTAAACAGCCGAAGTGTCCTGAGAGAACGGCTGGGGACATCATGGTGCTACCTTCCTGCCATTGAAAACGGTTTACGAAGACTTTTTTTTAAGATATGAACATGTTCAGATGTTAATAACGGGTAAAGGTAGTGAAGAATAGAGTTCAAAGTGTATAATCTCAACCATAAAAAAAGAGGATGGAATAGAAACATAGACAAGAAAAAAAGCTGATTTTTTCAACTTCTAAATCTAAATATAGTATGAATATTCTGCAGTATATATGCATATATGTATATATACATATATATAAAGAGCACTTTGATCAAAAATACAGTTTTTAAAAGTTGGTTAAAAAATTTTTTAATGGACAATAATTGCTTTTGTTCTCAGACCAGCTAATCCTTATAGTCAGTGTACAACAATATCCTCAACTAGACAGCCTTGATCTTGTTAGATTTGTGAGATAGAATAAAACTTGCTTGTTTTTCTTCACAAAGAAATGATTGTCCTCTGAAGTTTTAAAAGCAACACAGAAATAAAGACGGAAGTAACAACTGGACAAAGCCAGTTTTCTAGTTATAAGAAATAGGGGGCGTTCAGCCCTGGCTGGTGTGGTTCAATGGTTTGAGCACGGGTCTGAACCAAAGGGTGGCCTGTTCGATTCCCAGACAGAACACATGACTGGGTGGTAGGCAAGGTCGGGCCCCTGGTAGGGGGCGCCCGAGAGGCAGCCACTTGGTGTTTCTCTCCCTCTTTTTCTCCTTCTCCCCTCTCTAAAAATAAATAAAATATTTCTAAAAAGGAAAAGAATGAAACAGGGCTTTCAGGAAGAGTTGGCGTCACTGGTGGCCTGGAGTCCTGAGTCCAGTGCCCATATCATCCCGGGCTTCTTGGAACCCTGTGGGCGGCTCCCTGCAGCCTGTGGGCGGGGACATCTCGCTCCACAGCCCCCCCACCACTAGAGGCTACAGCATGCTTCCTCTTTCCAAGGAGATTCCCCATAAACGTGGAGGGATGGCTGCTGCCAGTCCCAGCGCTGATGGAGGCACCCATCTGCCATCCACGTGCTCCGGAGCTTGCAGTTCCTTTCTCTGGGTCTCACAGTTCCTGAAGTCGTGTCCGTTGCCCCAGTCCGGCTGCCGGATAGTTCAGTGGCTCTTGAAATACCGTTATTGCAGTAGCGGTGTATTTTTTTAAGTGCTAAAAAAAGACTTGCAGCTTTATTTGTATAATGTAGTTTTGCCTGCAGATATAATGCTTTTGTCTGGGTTAAATAGGTCCTAAATTTGCAACTTAAATGTGTAGTCTTAAAAATGACTTTTTATTAAAAACTGATGTATCAAGTTCCTGAAGTTTAGCTGTCACTGTGCTCCCATTAAGTAATTTGCGGAGCCCAAGATCAAGGGTCTCTGGCCTATTTTTCTAGTGTAAGCAACTCTCAGACTTTTTCTCACGTGATTTCCAAACAAAATTTCCCGTTTTGACTTTGAAATTCGCTGGCAAACGAAAGGAGCTGGTGAGTGACGAGCTGCTGTCCCGAGGGGGTGGGGGGGGTAAAGCACCGAAGCAGGTGAGAATGCCACCGTGCCTGACTCATGGGAGAAGCTGGCAGCAGTGACCCCGAAAGCCCGCGCCCGGGAGCACAGTGTCCCGCTCGGCACGGGCCTGGACACCCTGGCAGTGGGAGCAGCACGCTCCACCACCTCTGTCTCAAAACCACAAGAGAGCAGACAGGACAGCATTCTGAGAGGCGGCCGCTGTTGATTCTGGCTCCCGAACGGGATACCCAGTCACACAGGAACGTGCCTGCCACACCCAGCTTCTCTTTACCTTTCTGGGTCTAAATAGAGCCGAAGATTGCCAATATGGACGTCTCATATCAGCCGTGCCAAAAAATTGGACCAAGTTAAGATATGAGGTGGTTGTACAGAGTACATTTTAAGGCAAAGAGTGTTCAGGAGCATCTTATTAGAATGGTTCTTTCAATGCATCACAAGTCTGACAGGCTTCTGCTCTCCCATCAGGTTATCTGTGCCACGATTGCGTTTGGGATGGGGATCGACAAACCCGACGTGCGGTTCGTGATCCACGCGTCCCTCCCGAAGTCCGTGGAAGGCTACTACCAGGAGTCCGGCAGGGCCGGAAGAGACGGGGAAGTGTCTCACTGCCTGCTTTTCTACACCTATTACGACGTGACCAGACTGAAGAGACTTATCCTGAGTAAGTCCTCTTCGAACTCGTGATAGTGGTAACCTGCTCCTGCTATTGTGGTACTTTTGGTCCAGCTTTCCTTACCTAGTCATAGAAAAATAGAGGTGAATACAGAAATTATTCATTTTTATGATAAAAGTATTACATGTTATTACATGAGACTCAAAGGAGCCCTGCCCAGTGGCTGTGAACCAAAGGGTCACTGGTTTGATTCCTTGTTGGGACACATGCCCGGGTTGCAGGCCAGGTCCCTGGTGGGGGCCACGTGAGAGCCAACCACACATTGGGGGGCGGGGAATCAACCTCAAAGGATACAGACTGTATCTGACGGAAGATTTCCAAACCAGGCCATTTCCTGCCCCAAGAAACAGCTCCAGACATGGGTTTCCTTTCTGTCCTGCCGGGCCTGGTTTCCGCAGCATGCTTGCATATTACACATCTGCTGAACATGCGGAAAGGACGGGGGGAAATAGTGACTCGTGTGTCACCGTCCAGGTTAGAAACCAAAACGGAGAGAGAGAGCGCACGCGCATGGGTGTCCATCTCCCATTTCATCCCTCTGCCCCTCTTTAGGGACAGCAGCATCTTTGTTTGGGGTTGACCTTTCCCAAATGCGTGTATTTTACCATGCTAATGGGATTGTGTTGTATGTGCGTATGTATACATACACACATACACATCAGATAGATACCTGATTTATTTCTCTGTTAACACTAAGATGTAATTATGACTCCAGTTACTATGCATAGCTTGACTGTATAGAATTCCATTGTATGGCTGTTTCATGTTTATGTAATCAGTCCCCTTTTAATAGATATTTTGATGGATTGTTACTTTCCAGTATTATCAACAGTACAATATTGAATGTCCTTGTAGAGATATCTTCGGGTATTAGAGCAGTTATCTATACAGGATAAATGTCTAGAATTAGACTTGCTGAGTCAAAGTGAATACGTATTTTAGAATCTTCTTAGGGTGTTTTGCCCATTTTACTGTTGGGTCAGGATTGCTAAATAAATACATTTCCTAAATAAACTTGCTTACTCTGAGACCACTTTTGAATGAACTTTGACAGACATACTGAGCCTGAGAAATGGCATTAACCACGCACTGTGCTGAGTAATATATCTCCCTGTTCGCTCCTAACCACTGGCTTTCGGGGTGGAGTTAGTCCCCCGGGAAAGTGAGCCTCGGGAGGTTTTCTGACTTGCCTCCCAGGGCGCGGGCGCGGCAGCAGCAGCAGCCGTGGTTGGCGGAGTGATAGTGGTGCCGTTGAGGGACACAGCGTCTCCTCAGCACTCACCCTGTGCTCTGCCGTAAGTGCTGTGCGTGTGTCACTTCATTTAATCTTCACGGCACGCCGAAAGGATGCCAGCTCCTGGTACTCCTTTGCAGAGGACGGAAATGAGGTGCAGAGCTGGTAAGTGGCGGGAAGCCCAGGTCGTCAGACTCCATGGTCCTTGACCCCAGCGCTGTGCCAAGATGGTTCTCAGTGCAAAATGAAACTCCTAAACCTAGAGTATCTGCCTGTGTTTTTAAACGGAACCTATGTTAAGTTAGGTTCAAACAATTTAGTAAGTATTGAAGTCGTACGCACTCAGAGCCATCTGAAAAAACAAAACTCATAAATTAGGGGAGAAATGTCTTTTTACTTCATTCTTAACTAACCACAATTCTCACAGACGGAAAGTATGTACATGCTGTTCTCAGACCTTGGAATCAGATTGGACACTGCCACCCTCATTCATTTTCTGCTTCTCGTTGATTTTCTGGAGGTACTTGTTTTTCCACAGAACTGCCAGAAACTCACTGTCACAAAAAATGTCGTTGAAAGGAACATAGCCTACCGTGAACTTCCTCAAACTGGTAGTTTGAATGGTGTTCAACAGACGTCAGGTTTTGCTGTTTCCCTAACATTTGAAATGCCTTGCCAGGGTCCCATGAGTTCACCGCAGTGCCCCAGGCTCCCTGGCACGCGCTTTCAGGGCCCCTGGCTTAACCACTTGGACCCCGGACACTCAGTGGGGCGCGCAGCCCACTGCTGACGCCCCGTGCTCTGCTTCCTTTGGCCGTTCAGTTCAGTGCGCGCTTGTCTGATCCATACAGTGAATCTCATGCAGGTCCTCATCGTTGGGAATAATGAAGATCTGCAAAAAACTCACCTACTCCCAACAATCTGCACTTACACCTATACAACTAATGTCTTATGGGGTTAACATAAATATTCAGTTAACCATGGAGAATGATGTCATGTTGATATATAATGCTGTTAATAGTTTCATTTAATATTTAAAGTTACGTGATCCTAATTTAAATAGTTATATTCTCCACGATTCTTCAACCCTAATAAGTATGTTTTGCTATGTTCTTCATTTCTTTTAGTGGAAAAAGATGGAAACCATCATACAAGAGAAACTCACTTCAATAATTTGTACAGTATGGTCCATTACTGTGAAAATATAGCAGAGTGCAGGCGAATACAGCTTTTGGCTTACTTTGGTGAAATTGGATTTAATCCTGATTTTTGTAAGAAGTACCCAGATGTTTCTTGTGATAACTGCTGTAAAACAAAGGTAAAATAAGAAAAAAAAATTTTTCTCTTCTTATCTTAAAAACATTACATGAAAGGTGGATTTGAGAATTTGTTCTCTCGTCTTCTATAGCTAGGCCTTCTCAATCAATAAACCTTTCCTTGCTAAAAAAGAAAAAGAAAAAAGTTAGATGAAAATAACAGGCCCTAAGGAATTAAACAAGGGAGATTGCTTCCTCCCCACAGTAATTTGGAATAGAAGCATTTTAATATTAATTCTGCAGAGTATCTTTAGAACTAAAAGCCCATAAAAAATATTCTGGACCTATCCAAAATACTGACGTTACATACATACACTGATAATTATAGGATATTTTAGAACTATCATAAATCTGTAAATATAAAAAAAAATCTAACATAAGCAGGTAAAATATTTTCAATTTAACTCTGATCTATATTTAGAGAGCCTGTTCTCAAAAGAGTTGTAATAACTGGACTGCTGTGTGTTTGAATTCACATCAGTTAGATTACTCTATAAATTGGGTTTGTTTGTTTGCTTTTTAAACTATGGGAAATAATGGCAATAACTTCTGGATGACTTTGCTGTCATCTGTCCTAAAAATAACCTTGGGAGGTTGTTAAATTGGACACTTTATTGTGCCTATTATGGTAATTCTATGTTTTAATGTCTACAGTTTACAGAGCATTTTCACATTTGATGTATTATTTGAAATGTCTGCGTAAGGTGCTGGGGATTCACAAATGAGCGTGGTGTGGGCCAGTTCATAGACTGGCTGCAGGAAGGACAGACAGACATGTATGTGGTCAGTGCAACTACAGAGACACACGGCACTCGCCAGAGCAGAGGTCACTTGCTGTCTCTTGGGCGGATTCTGTGGGTTTATGGCCATCTCCACCCACCGCACCCAGCACATAGACATTGCTAATCAGGTCACTCATTGAGCAAATATTTGTTGAGTGCCTGCTCTGTGACCTGCGGCTCTGGTCTAGGAGTTTGGACTACTTCACTGAACAAAATATGTAGACCCCTCGAGGATCTTACATTCCAGCAGGCAGGGGCTGAGCACAGACGATATACACAGTTAAGCCCATGTTGCAGGATAAGAACTGGTGAAAACCAACAGTGTAAGGAGGCAGGACTAGTGGATGGGATACAGGGTTGGGTAAGGTGGCCCAGGAAGGTGTTACTGTTAGGATGACGTTGGAGCAAGACCTTGAAGAAAGGAGTTAACTGAGCAGCTCTGTGGACTTGGGCATTCCGGGCCGGAGCTGTAGTTTGCTGCCGCCTGTTCTAAGAGGATGGGGGAGTGGTGGACTGAGGATGGATGGAGATCAGCGGGCAGTGTCAGGGGTCTCCTTGAGGTCTGTAACCATGTTTTGAAAGTTCAACCAGTCAGCATGGTTCTGTGTGTTTCTGCAGCCAAGTTTAGCCACAAAGGTGCAGGCGTGGGTGCTGGGGAAGTGCACCGAATGTGTCTGTGAGGCAAGGTGATGAAGTGACTTCTAAAGGCAGGGGAGTTGAGGGTGCATGAACGGCAGTGTTGTAATGGTCGTCTGTGGAATTGCAGCGGCGTTAGTGGGCGTCTGAGGATGAGGGTCGATGGGAGTCCCACTGCACTGCTGGAGTCAGAGCTCTGGATGGTGTAGGTGAGAAAGGTAGGAAGTGGTGGCCGGAGGTTGAAGGGTCATGATTAGTTCCACAGAAGTAGTGGGTGTGGCCATGGGAGTGAGTCACTGGCGTGTGCGGAGGACGGGATCGCCGGAGCAGAGATTGACATGCTGACAGCCAAGGTGTGGGAGGGCCTTCTCTGTGTACTGAGTCACCAACAAGCACGGCAGGAATGACGCAGGAGAGAGACGGGACTTCTTCCTGGTGATTCCAGGTGGAGCTCAGAATCACTACCCATTGTTCGTAAAAGACGAGAACCCCATTGGTCTTTGGGTTGTTGAAATGTGGCAGAAGAACGAGGATTAGAAGATGGGGAGCTGCGTGTGCAGGGCACGGAGGCATGGCGCAGCTCTGGAGAAGCACAGGCGGCAGCGACCGCTGGTTTGCAGAACTGGAGCAGATGGAGGCAGAGATCGTTCAGTAACGGGGGCTTCAGAAAGCAGACAGAGTTTGGAGGCAGGCGAGGGGGGTGGGAAAGGGAAGTGACAGGAGATGGTACGAAGGCTAGACTGTGGCACCAAAGACCCGAAAGGGGTTGGAACCTCGTAAAGTTGCATGTTTTTCATCTCGTAAGTCACCAGCCAGTACTTGACAGACTGCTGTCGTCGGAGGCATGGAGGATATTTTTTTCTAAGAGTATTCTTGCCTACAGAGGACCATCAAGGCATTGAAAGACATGATCTGTGTCTGCGAAACGGCAATAAAATAGACAGAGTGCTCATTGTTCCAGACACAAGGTTAAAGTAAGAACTGAGAAAAGAATGAACATTGGAAACTTCCTTGGTTTTTGGTCTGGAAACAGTTTATTATGACACTAATGATTAGTAAACCTAGCAATCTAGGTATCATTATCTTAATTATTACAGAAGATAATCTCTTTTTATTCACAGGCTTATAAGACACGAGATGTGACTGACGATGTAAAAAGTATTGTAAGATTTGTTCAAGAACATAGTTCATCACAAGGAATGAGAAATAAGCATGTAGGTCCTTGTGGGAGATTTACGATGAATATGCTGGTCGACATTTTCTTGGGTAAGTCATCTGTTCTGTTAGTTTGCCTTGTATCAGCTGAAGTTGAACATCTAAAGAATTCTTTTGTCTATTTTCTTATAGACAAAAGGGTTTTAGAATAAAACCCTTTTTTTGAGTAACAAAAGAAAATCAGTTTTTATGAATTATGCCACTTATTTTTATAGAATGTATATATGTCACTAAGATAAGTTTTCACATACAAAAAATAAAATAAGAAAGCTTATCCAGTTTCACCTGAGTGAGTGGAATATAACTGGCTTAGAGAATTACCTTTTAACCGACTTTCCGTTCAAGATGGCAGCCTGAGCATTAAGTATCTGTCTCTCTCTTCTCTTTTTTGGCTTGAAGTCCTGTTACAACAGTAAAGGAAATAAAGTGAGGAATTAAATCCATAATGGCATAGAGAACCAGAAAGAGACCATCATCAGACTGAGGAAATGGATAGAAGCAGTTGACAGATGGAATGAAATTCAGTGAACCACCATAGAAAATAAATGTAGGAGGGAGTTAAAGCAGAGGAGCACCTGTCAACCAGGCAAAGCCCCGCTATCCTTCGGCCTCAGGCTTGGAGCCTGGAAGCCCAGGGAGTGGGAGTGAAAGCAAGGAGGCCCAAAATAGGAGGGGGCGGTTAAAATAGTCTGCCCACGGAAGAACTGCATCGAATGCCAGCCTGGCATTGATTCTGGATCAAAAATAAGTAAACTGACCAAGGACTAGAAAGACAGCTGAGTGAGGGGCCAGAGTCCCGAGGTGGCATGTGGGTGGCACCCAGCCCATCTGAAATCTGGTCCTGCCTACTTACTCAAAAGCAAACCTGATGGCCGGGTTTCCCCGCTCAGGGGAGGAGTCTGGGGACGTAGACGTGGATTTGATAGAACAGTCGTTTAGCCTGGTTTCTGAAGGTTGACTATAAGTGGGCAATCAAGAAAAAGCCCAAATAAGTAGAATGGATGACCCTAGGGATAGAGATAACTTAGAAAAGAGTCAGGAGCTTTGGAGAAAGGGAAGAGGAAACTTCACCAATGTTATGGGAAAGAAAAAATGAATGAGAAAGTATTATTATTAAAATTTTTAAATGAGCCCTGGCTGGTGTGGCTCAGTGGCTTGAGTGCCGGCCTGCAAACTGAAAGATCGCCCGTTCGAATCCCAGTCAGGGCACATGCACATGCCTGGGTTGTGGGCCAGGTCCCCAGTAGGGGGCATAAAAGAGACAACCAATTGGTATTCCTCTCACACATCCATATTTCTCTCCCCCTTTTCCTCCTTCTCTCCTCTCTCTAAACATAAATAAATAACCTCTTAAAAATAAATGAATAAATTTTAATGATTGACAAAGTCAATTTAGTTGAAACGGTCGGAAGATAAAATCTAGAAACTCTTCTAAGACGTGAGCAAAAAATATATGGAAAATATGAGAGAAAAATACAGAAGGTCAATTCTTAGGAGATATGAAATCTGACAAATAACATTTTTGAAATGGAAAATAGGGAATTATCAAATCAATAATATAAGAAAATTTCCCAGAAGGGCAGAGAAAAAGGCTTTCATATTAAAATGCCCACTGAATGCCAAATCACTTGCTGTATAAGATTTAAGAATACCATACCAAGAGTAAGAAATTTAAAAAGAAAAGAAACTAAGGAACAAAAATTAAAAAAAAAAAGAATACCAAGACTATTGGGGAGGAAGGACTCTTCTATCCTGTTAGGTTTAGTAGTAGGGAGCCTGCGAATTAAACTGACAAAAGACAGATTTAATCATGTCTGTAAGGGAATTCATAGAAAAATGCAACTCAAAGGGTCAGTTAGATTTGGGGACCTACATACCATCTTAAGAGAAGGGGAGAGGGGAAAGGACGCTTCTGGGAAAACATGACTTTTTGGAAAGATAAGGGGGCCTTGAGGAGAGCAGATGGGAGGGAGGGAGGATTCTCGGCGAGACAGTGTCTGGTTGGACTTGACACAGAGCCTTCTTTTCCGATGAAGAGTCAGCCATCCCTGCCTGCTCCCAAGGAGGGGGTTTAGGGCGATTGGTTGAGTCCTTTGGGTGGGTGGGGGAAACTGTGCTTGAGATTTCAGGAATTCAAATGCCTTCTGTTCAGTGGTTTTTATGTCAAGTGGCATATTCTGGACCCCTTCAGAGAGAGTCCTGAAACCAAAACCAATCTGGTCTGAGGTTAGTGTCAGCAATTCTGGAGACTGGAAGGCCGAGAACGTGAGTGCACAGCATAGGATACTGGAAACGGGGACTGGCTGAGGGCGGCCGTGGGGAGAAGGCCCAGAGACACGGCTCTGCGGCCGGTCCCGTGAGCGTCTGTGCGGACTGCAACAAAGGCAGGGAAAGTTGGTCCAAGCGATGGAGAGGAAGAACAGGAAACGGAATATTTTATTGATGACAGCCCAGAACACAAATGTTACTTCTCACCAAAAAAAGGAGACAGGCACTTAGAAACTCAGGGGAAAGAGAGCCAATGTCAGAAGTGAAACAAAGGAAACTGCTACACGATTTTGAGTAATTGATAAAACCTACAAAAAATGATCATTTGTCCGGTTGCAGTAAACATCCTCCTTAGGGCTGTGCGAGAGTCACGGCACTCCAAGTGCGGAAGGAAACTTGTCCGAGCTGTTGATTCACAACAGCAGTTGGAGTTGACGTATAGACTTAAACACGGCCAGAGGACAGGACAGGCTGTGGGTGTTCATCTTGATGGTATAAAAATAAAACGTGCCATCAATAAAAATAAAAGGGAATGCACAGAAGGATTGGGGTGCTAATAATACACTTAGAGGGGAGGGACGGTGGTCAGAAGTTCTATCTAAAGCTACAGAGGTGTCGAAGAGATGAGCCAGTATTACAGCAAAATGCAGAGCAGGGTGATGAGAAGGGGGTGGCTGCGGGAAGGATGGCACGGGTTCGGGCGGTTGTGGAGGAAACCGCAGAGCAAAAACAAAGGCTGCTTGAAGAGCGGTTGCCTAGAAAAGGGAAGCGAGACCGAGGAGGGGAAGGGTGGGACAGAGGCGCGTCGCCTCCATTATACACCCTCCTGTACTGTTGTCCTTTCCCCGTGTGCTGCATTCATTAAATATAGAAAGCAATAACTGGTTCATTTTTTTTTCCATTTTTTAAAAAAAGTAGCGTAAGATTGGAGTAGGAAGATGGCTCGCTTGGTTTCTCAACTGTTTCCTCCAAGTCTGCTCCTTTCTCAAGACAAAAGCAGCTTTTAGTTCTGCTCTTCCCTGTCTGGATTCTTGCCTCATAGTTTGGACCTTTTTCAGGGAGGACAAAGGGTTGCAGATAAAATAACTTCGTGTAAGAGTGAGATGTGGCCGCTCTGCACTGCAGTGCGCAGACAGCCGAAAGGTGCGAACACCTCCAGGAGATGCTAACGTTCTGTGTCTGCTCCGAGTCACGTGTCCGTCATATTGTGCATCTGATGTATGTTGTTTCTGTGTAACAGTGTGTAAGCAGGTTCTTAATGTTTTTATTCTAAAGTAGTTTGGGTTTTTTTTAGAAACTTTTTTTAAAGAGTTTATTTATTTTTTAGAGAGGGAAGGGAGGGAGATAGAGAGAGAGAGAAACATCAATGTGAGGTTGCTGGGGGTCATAGCCTGCAACCCAGGCATGTACCCTGACTGGGAATCGAACCTGCGACACTTATTCTAAAGTAGTTTTTAATAATTTATGTTTTACCATGTTGATGAAATGTATCTAAGTGGTCTTATTTTAGGATATATTTTTCTATTATAAATAATGGTGTGTTAAATAGCCTTCTACATACACCTTCAGCTACATCTCTGCTTTTACCTTTCATTTAAATTCCTTAAAGAAGTACTAAAACATTTTCTGACACATTCTTCAGTTTTTCATTAAGTTCTTTTATGTCTTCAAGAAAATTATTTCTATCTCATCCAGCTTTCCTAGTTACCCTCAGCACAAGGGTTGGTCTGCATCACCCAGCTCACCATTACCAGAGCAGTGGTCCTGATCCTGTGTGACATTTCAGGGGTACAGACCCCTCAAACAAAGTAAAATGTAAATCACTCAAAATATGTGGCCAGAAGTCATCCGGCATCTATAATAATGTAATTATTTGGAACTATTAAAATAGTGCTAAAGCTTTACAAAGTAACTGTTCATTCTGATTATTGTCAGTGTCACAAGGCTTCCTAAGTGGATTTTTGATGGTAAGTTGTATTTACATCGAGGACATGAGTCATGACAGCCGCTGGATGTGAAACCGAGGGCCCGGCGCAGGGTGGTGCCCTTGGCCGGCGGCAGAGGGGAAGTGTGCGGCCTTGTGCAGTGGGGTGCCTTTGGACTGAAGTTCATATAGGCTCCGTTTGTGAGGGTGACAGAAAGTATGGACTTAAATACTGCTTGATTGTAAACGATAGTGATTTCAATAGAGTACCCGAGATAGGATTTATAAAACCGATTGTCAAAAATTTCTTGTAACCAGAAAAATAATGCAGTTATCCTAACAGAACACAGTGATACAAAGCTACTAAAGTTTACAAAAACTCTTTGATTTCCTTGCTCTGATACAATTTTATAGGCTATGCAACATTCTAAATGATTAACTTTTCTAACAGTGTGTGTTAGAAAAAGATGAGGAAAAGCACAGAGGACCGTGGAAACTTTTAGAGTTCCACAGTGATATTAGCATTTCACGGGATCGAGCGTCTACACCATGGTTTTCCCGTGGAGCAGATTATTGGTCCCCCTCTCGCAGGCCTGCCCGTGAACAGCCTTCTCAGCCTCTTCTGTTAGAGGGTATGGCGCACCTACATTTAACTTCTTTTACCTTCTCACCAGGTAGCAAGAATGCAAAGATTCAGTCGGGGATTTTTGGAAAGGGATCTACGTATTCACGACACAATGCCGAGAGACTTTTCAAAAAGCTGATACTTGACAAGATCCTGGATGAAGACTTGTTTATCAATGCCGTTGACCAGCCAATTGCCTATGTGATGCCTGGCAGTAAGGCCCAAACTTTACTGAATGGGCATTTAAAGGTATGATGTTCTAAAAGTTTATTTCATTTTATTATTAAACAGTGAGAGCACAAAAACATATTACTGAAAATTAAACTGTCTTTTCCAAAGCTTAGGGATACTGAATTTATTTTTACTGTCTTATATGAACGTATTCTTTCCTATTAATCTGCTAGGAGATCTTAAAACTGAACCCAAGTAATATAATACCTGTCAAAGTGAATTTAATGGGTTATCAGATCACTAAATCATCATATGTTTACTAAATTAACACCAAGAAGCAGTTCTGTACTAGGTGCTGGGGATACAAAGATGGAGAATGCACAGTTCCTCTTCCCAAGGGGCTTACTATCTACTGGGCATAACAGAAATATCCCCCAAAGTGCAATTATATACTAAATAAATGTGCCCACACCCACTCCTATGATCTCTCTCTGTCTCTCTCCCTCTCTCTCACACACACACAAAGGTAGACTTTATGGAAACGGAAAATTCCAGCCTTATAAAAAAACAAAAAGCCTTAGTGACGGAGATATCTCAGAGGGAAGAGGTGGTGAAAAAATGTCTTGGAGAACTTACAGAAGTCTGCAAATCTCTGGGGAAAGTTTTTGGAGTCCATTACTTCAACATCTTCAACACCGCCACTCTCAAGAAGCTTGCAGGTAGGTGTGTGTGTGAGTCTTCTGTTATGTGGCGTACGTTTACAGGCCGAAAGTTAGTCTTGCTAAGGTGCATAAATATAGCTCAGTCTTTTGTATTTTTATTTAATCACTACATTGAAAGTTCAGAGAAACTAGTTAAACTTATTCTTGAGATAAAATATACTCTCTAAGAGATATGTAGTGCTTTGACATAATTTTAATTTTATGCTTTCCTCCCGTGCTGGATGTCAGATACGGGTAATTGCAGTCTCTAACTCCAGATGGTACTTGATGATTTTTCTGTCCACTTTTGCCTGCCTGGGTGATGTTTAGCTGTGCTGTGTGCAGATGTCTTTGCAGTGAGAAGCTAAGTTCCTTATGGAAAGAGATGATGTCTCCTGCTTCTTTGAATCTGGCTCTGGCACTCTTCTATGTCTCCAGTCCACACATGCCTGCTGCCCTGAGTTTCGGCCATAGCTTCAGGCAGCTCAACCAGAGTTCTAGTAGGAAAGTCCCTGGAAAACAAGTTACGACGTCAGGGACTGACTAGCAGTGTCCGTTACCTTCCCCGTTCTTCCTCCGGAAATCCGACAGTCGTTACCTTCTCTCTCCTCCATTCCCACTCCCGCCACCACAGGTCATTGTGGTACTTCATCAGTTCTAAGATGCCATCTATTTTATGACACTGTTACTTGATGAACTATTAAGAAAGGAAAAATTTGCCCTGGCTGGTATGGCTCAGCAGGTTGAGTGCTGGCCTGTGAACCGAGAGGTCACTAGTTTGATTCCCGGTCACGGAACATGGCCTGGCTTGCTGGCCAGGTCCCCAGCTGGGGTTGTGCGAGAGGCAGCCGATCGATGTTTCTCTCCCTCTCTCTTCCTCCCTTCCCCTCTCTGAAAATTAATAAATAAATTCTTTAAAAAAAAAATTCTACTAAGCAGTGTTTTTGTTGCAGATTATTTTGACTTGTTTATACTTTGCATGCATGAAAAAATGCATAAAATTAAAGCAAGTTGCCAAATTTTTTTCCTGTCCCTATGTTTCTGTGGTTTCCTGCCTTCACATGCTAATCAGTCTTTCTGTGGTCATTTTATGTGGCTGTTAAGCTCAACACGTGAGGACCCGGCACCGCCATCACGCTGCGGACGTGCCGACAGTGCTAAGCGCTGTGACCGAGTTCTCACGTGGACAGGCAGCGGCAACCGCAGTGCAGCTGCCGTTCCACCGTCAGCACTTGTAAGACCCTTTGACCTCAGGGAGGTCAAACCATGAGTGAGTGTGTCTTAGAGTTGATGAAATACAGTATCTTGTTCTTCCTGGGCTATTAGGAAAGTTTTCTCACTGGTCTCCTTAACTCCAGATATGAACGTGGTATACATTTTAATCTTGCCAGACTTCTGCCAAAGCTCCAACAGTTCTCCAGATAAAGTACAAAGTCTATCAAGGATTTGCATTTCTACCGATTTTCCCATTTTATCTTCCACTAACTCCCTCCATAAACCTTCTAGTCTCTCCCAAAGGTCTGTTGCTTTTCCTCCACACACAGAGATGATGTGAAAATCACAGATTGGAAATCCATGCTTTGCTCAAGTCAAATGCGGAGGGATTATTACTCCCTCACTCCCCATAGCCAGTGCATTGATGGCGCAACCAGACCAGCCTCCGAACGCATCCGAACCCCTCTCTTCTCTCTACTGCTACGTCCTAATTCACTGCACCCTCGCTGGGTCCTCAGCGGCTTCCACTGGGCTCCCAGTCTCTACTCTTCCCCTCATAATCCATTCTCCATGCAGCAGCCAGAATGATCTATAAAATGACAGGCTTATCCAGCTACAAGACTGGTGTGCCATCTGCATGCAGAGGACTCAACAGCCTAACTGTTAAAGTCAGATTACCCGCTTCACCCTGTAGGCAGAAAGATTGGAGGAAGAACAGGTGTGGGTTGGGGGGGGTGTAAGAATTCACCTACTGTCTGTGTGTGTGCGCGCGCCCCTTTCCTGGAAGTACTGCAATACCAGGTCAGTGCGTGGAATGGATGGAGCAAGCTCCTATTCCTTCTTCCAGCGCCAAAAACCCATTTGATGTAATGCCCTCGGATATGTCTTTGTTGTGAGAACAGGGCGAAGTCTGGTTAAACTCTGAGGCACAGTGCACAGGTCTCCCCTCCAGTTTCTCCCACGTCCTTTCCTCTCCCCCCGTCCTTTCCTCTCCCGCCGTCTCTGCTCTGACTTAACGCACCTCGGCTGCTGGAACTGGATGATGGGATCGACCCTCTGGGCCTGTCTGCTGCCTCTTTTGGCACCAGCTGCCTTGTAGAAAATTGGCTCATGTGCCCAGTGCTCTGCAGTTGGTTGGCACTTAACAAACATGCTGAATGGGTGAATGACCATGAATGCAGTGGGTTTTCTATTGGTGGTAATTTAAATTCCTGATTTTATGTTCATGCACAGAATCTTTATCTTCTGATCCTGAGGTTTTGCTTCAAATTGATGGTGTCACTGAAGACAAACTGGAAAAATATGGTGCAGAAGTGATTCCAATATTACAGAAATACTCTGAGTGGACGTTGCCAGGTTCAGTATACAGCCAAATATGTAATATGTGTTTTCTAAAAGACTGTTTTAATGTTAAGCGATGCATCTCACTAGATTAAAATTCTGTGGCTTCTGGGTTGTGTTCATGCTTCCTACACCTTGTCACACTGATGCTCCGGTGCTCAGGGCAGCCCCCAGTGATGTGCCAGCCCCTCTTACCAGACAGTGGTGCTTAGGCCACCTGGGGAGTGCCAGCTACTGAACCCGTTAACCTCTGAGCCCAGAAGTGGCTGGTCCTCTTCAGGTAAATGCCCGAGGGAACAGGAGTGCTGGGTGCAGTTCGCCAGTCTGCCACCCTCGCGCTCTGTGGTCCTTGGCAGGCCACAAATAACCTCTTTGTGCTTCAGCTTCCTTATCTGAGGAAGGAACAAGTTATCTGGAAAGCATTTCTAAAGATAAAACTTAAGAGTGGAGTTTAAGCGTTCTGAAAAAACGAACATGGAGTTGGAATGCTAGCAAATCTTACTGTTATTAGCATGGAAAGAATCTGCCCAACCGAGGGCATCCTAGCAGATGTTCCCGAAGGTTACATTGGGCCGGTCACAAAGCACTTCCAATTACGAGCCTCCTCGGTGAGCTGGAGAAAGCACCGACTAAGGGAAAACTGAGAACAAAGACAGGCGTGGGAGACAGGACGGCTGCGGAAGTCTTCAGGGCCTCCTCCAACACACAGCCGCGGGGCAGGATGCAACCCACAGGCCACACTCAGCGTCTTCCCTGCTTCTGTAAGGAGTCTTGGGGGGGGTCTCTTCTCCAGGCCGATGGGAACGGTAAGCGGGCTGAGGAATGAGCGAGTATGCATTTCAAGTTCTGTCTGTGCATCCTTGTTTTTGACCCAGTGACAAAATGCCAGAAAGCAGGGTTTTCATCTCGGCCTCTGTGTGGTCACTACCGTGCTGAGCGCCTTGCTGTGACTGCACCGACAGTCGTGGTGGGAACTTCGTGTTCGGTCACTGCGGGGACTTCCTGGGAGGGCTTCCCCACATCAGACAGGGCGCTCTGTGGGGACAGCCAGGGTGGTGACGATCACCGCCCCTGTGAGGGACAGGCACTGTGCCAACGCTCTGCCTATTTTGTGTCACTCGATTCTCGCAGCACCCATTTTACAGGTGGACGTGGGCGAGGCCTTTTCGTTTCCCTGGCGTCCCACCGCAGGGGTGACAGCACCCTTCATCCCAGCTGCAGTGCCTCCCTGTGAGAGCCCGGGCTGGGGGGCAGGGCCCTTCCCACCAGGCAGCAGGGTGGCCCAAGGGTGAACCAACCCGGCCGGAAAGTACCACCCTTCACGAAACGGAGCGGGGCCACTGTGGGCCTGTGAGGAGGGGCTCCGTGTTCTGTGGGCGTGTGGGGATGCAGACACTTGTGGAAATTGCTAGCTTTGCCAACGTGTGCTTTCATACAGGCCCACGGCCTGCGTGGCACCTGAAATGTTCACAGCCGCTATGCACGGAGACGTTTGTCTTTGAAGAAGGAATTATGATGTGGAATTTTCTGACAGTCATTTACTAAGTAACTGGCTTTCACAAGTGAGGTACAGAGCAGAGTATGTTTCTCTTATATTGGGCTGCTTTTTCAGCATATGTAAATAAATTAACTTATCTCTTATATAGCACTTTATACCTTCAAAGGGCTTAACCAGGACTAACTGCCCAAGCAGTAGTGGGTAGGCCGTACACAACACAGCAGGAGCAAAACCTGAGGTCTCTAGTTACGTTAAAGAGCATCACAGGTTTTTTTTAATGAATTCTAATCCTCTTTCTTTAAAAAATAAATGGCCACTGAGCACTTTGGGGCTTTATGCAATAAATAAAAAAGAAAGAAAGAGAGAAAGGTTCCGTTCTTGAGGAATTGTCAAACCCGTGTAGCAAGGGGAGACACCAGGAGAGCAGGCAGGTGCCAGCCGAGCTGCCCATGCTGTGCTTCTCCTGGCGGTTGACTCACACGCAGGGCCGGCAGGGCGTCCCCCGTAAACGTGTGCGTTGTCCGTTTGTAGCTGAGGACGCTCCCCCGCGGCCGAGCCCATCCAGCAGCAGAGGCACGGGGAGAAACGACTCTGAGGGCTTCGATGAGGAAGCGCCTGTGTCTTCTCACTACTTTGCAAATAAAACCAAAAATGAAAGGAAGAGGAAAAGGGCACCAGCCTGCCAAAGGAGCAAAAGGAGAAAAACTGGTGATTTCAAGACAAAAGCGTAAGTCCCGCGGTGTTCTGCAATGTAGGGGGTAAGGGAGAAAAGTCCGAAAGTATAACAGCTCTGGTTTCCTTTGAGGCATTTTTAAAAATAAGCCATTATTAGATGTTATCTCTCTAACTACTGGAGTGAAGATGAAGGTTGTATCCAACACATTTACTTCAGATGTTTAAACTATCTACTCCTAAGTCAATTATCACTAAAATTTTCTGGTTCACAAAACCTCCAATATTGACCTTAACTTAGGGAGAAAAGAAATTTTTTATAATTGCTCTTCTTAAGAGACTTTTTCACCTAAAATACTCTAAATCGTATGCTAGCTGAATAAATACAGGGCTTTGTTTCCTCATTGCTGTGTGATTCTGTCAGTTCTCCCTACACAGCTTTCATTCGAGCAGAATCCGTGGGCCTCCACCTGGACGCCCTGCGCATTCCCTGTGGTTCATTAACACCCGGGAAGGCCACGCCCCAGCCTCCACAGGGCCGCAGAGGAGAGGCCACAGCAGGAGAAGCAGAAGGTCAGGCCATGCAGGCCTGTAGGGGTAGGCTCCTAGGGGTAATGCATCCTGTCCCTGGTGCCTGGTCCTGGGCCGGGACTGCTGTGCTGCAGGGCTCCTCGGCGTATCAAAGGGGAACAAAGGCAGCATTGTCAGGTGGGGCGAGGTCTGGGCAGCGTCAGCCTTCCGTCAGAACTGCTCGCTCTGGCAGCCCCTTTCCTGTCTTCTGCGAGGACGCCCTCTGTCCTCGCCATGTAGATAAGGCCTGGCAGGGTTGTGACCATCCCATCAGTCTGGGCAGTGTGGCCCCCAGATCCCTGCGTATCGGCACAGAGATGCTTGCAGGAAAGGGAACGAGTCCTCAGTAAATTTCCGCAAGCTGTTGTGTTTTTCTTTTGCAGTTTTTATACCTCTTTTCCTTCTGGGTAATAAAAAATTGAGTGAAGGAAGAGAGGGAAAGGCACATGTTACCAAATTTCATTTTCTTGCTAATTCCATAAACAAACATCTTGTATGTGCTAATCCTTCTGCCAGGATACAGAAATTAAAGGCATTAGTAAATGCTAGTTTAATTTTGTGGTTTTTCATGCGCAAGTGACCAACCAGCAGATGTTCTTCAGCAGGGACATTTTATTTTCTTCATTTATTCCTCCTCCGTTTTGGGAAATACTGATTTCCTCAGGAGCCCACACAGAGTAAGAGTCCTTAAAAGGCATCTGGTCCCGCCCTCTGGGGTTTATGAGGAGGAAGCCGAGGCCTGGCCTCGCGCGAGGCTGGCGCCAGCCCGTACCCAGCCCGATGTCGATTTCACAGCGGGGACTGGACACTGGCTTGCCCACGCCTTCACAGAGCACTTTCCTTTCTACACGTCGTCCCTAAAAACAGTTCTGATCTGTGTTCACTTGTGAGGACAAAGCAAACCGTATTTCAGTGCTCGTTGCCAGCTGATCCCGTACTCCGTTTTCAGAACTTTTGTTTGTGAGTGAAGCACTTTGCCTTCTGGCCCCAAGCCTGGGCTCACACTGGTCCCAACTGTGATGCTGGTTTTTAATTAGCCTGTGTGTCCGTCCAACAGGGGATTCTCCTCTGATCCCTGCTGGCTGAGACCAGTTAGTGGTGTAACTTCCCTTTACTTTTGTAACAGCCTCTCTGTATCTGCCCTTTGCTCGCCTCATTTCTACCCAGCCTCTCCGGCAGATAGTTCCCACAGTTTCCACGCTGCTCACCTGGCTGAAGGTCTCTGCACAGTGACAGAATAAATGTGGCTCCTTGCCAAGGACCTTAACGCTCCACCCTACCCCCCAGGGCTTTGCACCTTCAGAATAATGCACCACGAGCACCACGAAGGAGCTGTGTCTGGGCTCTCTGAGTGGGAGTGAAATGGGTGGCCAGGTGAGATGGAAGCTCCTGTTGGCAGTTGCATTCCATACATCAACATAAACAGCAGGTTTTTGCTAGGGGCTTAATTTCCCGGCAGGAAATCAGTGTGGGGAAATGCAGGGCTGTTTCTCTGTTCTTTTAGCACATCCCTGCCAGTTCTGCGGTAACAGTGCCCTGGAGCAAAAGTTAACAGTGTTGAAAACCAGTCTTCACCTAGCCCCACCAAAAGGCCGTTACCACACACGGGTAGCCCCTGAATTCAGACACGAGAGGCCACTGGCTTGCCCTGATGCTATGGAATTAGTGTTGGGCATAAATTCAGCCTGGTTACAAAGCAAAGCAGCAAGAAATACTTGAGTAAGAAAAGACTTCTTTAGAGAATGTGGCCAGCTGTTATTCTTGTAAACATGCAACCCTGTGATTTTTTTTTTTTTTTTTTTTTACTTTGGAGGAAGGAAAAAGAATATCCATTATCTTAGGCCAGTGAGGGAAGTGAAGTTCTGGAAAGACTTTGTAATAAGCTGTGAAGCTGTGGCGGGGGCTTCTTTCCTAGCTCTAAAGGCAGCGAGTGGGAGGTGCGAGCACACAGATCTGGGAGTGTAGGCAATCCAGCAAGCTGCCGGTGACGTGGCCGTGACAGAGACGTGCCAGGCCCGAGCAGCCACTCACAGGCCCCCGGGGAACCACATCAGCGGCCGTCTCCGGGCTGGATGGAAAGAGGCTGGGCTCTGCTCCGCCCCATCTCCACGCAGCCAGCTACCTCTCTCTGAACTGTGTGAGCACAGTAATTCCAGAGTGTCTGTCGTCTGAGCATCTGGGTCCTTAAAACAAGGTCGCCTAGCTCCCTTTATTTGGTCAGGGTAGATCTGGGAATGTGGATCGGGGCTGTTGTTTGGAGGGAGGGGTGCAGTTATCAGCTGTGAAAGGTGTGGGTGGAGAAAAGGCACATGGGTTGGCCTCAAGTCACAGAATTCAGAAGCAATCCTTGACATTTCAGGGAGACAAATGTGTCTGAAGAACAGCGGTCCTTTCCTCCTTGAATTGTAAAATGAACTAACCTTATCGAGGGGTTATAGGCAGAGAGACTCGTAACACCAAAGGAAATCACGGGTTGTATAGTTCTTTTCAGGTTGAGAAAAAACACTGCTCACTTGAGGTTTTATTTAACATTCCAATTTTCTTTTTTCACATTTTAGGGGCTCCACCACATGCAGAAAGATATCTTCTAAAAGTAAATCCTCCGGCATAGTTGGGCCAAGATCAGCTGTGCATGGTTCTCAGATGGCACCAGGAGCCAGTAGAAAATTGGGGATTATGGCCCCACCAAAGCCTGTAAACAGAGCGTTCCTCAGGCCTTCGTACGCATTTTCATAACAACCAAACCTCAGTGTGCAGAGATCCCGTTTCTTGTCTGTTGTCATCTGACCATCTGTGAATATAAAGTTGTTTAGTTTCATTATTCCATTTGTGATTTTTACCCGTATCTATTAATATTTAAATAAATGCTTGGGGTGATGGTTCTGTTTTTTAAATAACCATTTTCTTTTGAATAAGCAAGATTTGCTGCCTCTGCAAGCCTTGTGGCTGCTGTTTCTGAGAACATCTGAAGTGGCAGCTGAATCATCTCAGTGAGAGAGATTCTAAGCACGACATGAAACAGAAGCCGAAGGAAAAGACACGCATGCAGCACTGTAAAAGGGTAGAACTTTCTCTAGAAGATGTAAGCAAAATTAGAAGACAAACAGGAAAGATACATGACAAAGGATTCGTATTTGCAATACACAAAGAGTATCCCTAAATCGTTAACAAAAGGCAGACCAGTAGAAAAAAGGGATGCGAATAGGCTCTTTTCAGAAGAAGTAAAAAATGACCCACAATATGGGGAAGATACTCTGCCTAGTAAAAAATGTAAATTTAAACAATAAAATGCCTTTTCTCTTGCCTGTCGAACTGTCAACACTAATATCCCCAAATCCGGGAACAACAAGAGAACGGCCACTCTGTTGGTGAGAATACATTAAATGTTGGCGTAGTCCTTCCTTGTGAAGTGCCTTTCTTTTCAAGACCCTTCATAAATAGGCTGATTGGCCAGGAAGTCTTAATGTGGAATTTTGGCACCTCTTTTCAGAACTCCAGTACCCCATTTTTGGAGACATTTTGTTCGGTAGCTCTAAGTAACTTTGGTGACCTGTTTGGTGCCCCATTTCTTGACCTCAGTTAAGAGGATAGAGCTGGCGTGGCCCAGACTGAGGCAAAGTTGTTAAGAGCAAAGTCGGCTGGGAGCCTCGTGGCCTCTGCCTGGAGATCAGTGCTGAGGCGGACCCTGTACCCACCCTAAGGGGCCACCATGGGAGCACACCCCTACTGACTGTCACGTGGGCCTTTAAGCTCCACGCTTGACTGAGTCGACTGGCTCGGCAGGAGCCTGCTGGGGCTGGGCACTGTAACCTCCGATGCCTTCTGGAGCTGACACATTTCAAGAAACCATCTTTTCAGCAAGTCCTGACTCAAGTGGCCAGAAGCACCTTCTTGGAGTGAGGAGAGGAGATGAAGGACAAAGTAGCCAGGAGTAGTGGAGGCTGCTGGGATGTCCCCAGCATAAGGTCACCTTTGCAGAGCTGGCGGTGCACAAAGGCATCTTGCAGAAGATCATACTTTCCGCCTACCATGGCCTGGCTTTGAGGGATCGGGGGCAGCTTCTGCGCAAAGCTGATGCTGCAGATAGGAAGGGAATTCATTTATTCCTTTACCGAGGACCTCATCTGCCCAGACACTGGAGACTACTGTCCTCTCAGGGGTGTCCACCCTGCCTCCGGGGCTCCCAGGCAACAGGGAAGATGGATGAAGGAAGTGCAGTGGGAGCCCTGAGGACTCAGTGTAGAAGCTGCGAACAGCTAGCACTGTGCGCGGCACTGCCACCTGTGTCTCACCACAGCCCTGAGGACAGAGCTGACGCATGTCCACCTCCCAGCAGGAATCTGAGGCCTGGAGACACTTGAGTAGCATAGGATCAAATCACGGAGCCATGCCCCACAGCCAGCTCTTCTTAACGATCCTGGGTTCGATTCTATAAGGGCCCAGAGCAAGCGCAGAAAATTCGAGTAGCCTCATTCAATTCAGTCTCCAGCCTTCCCAGAGCATCCGTCCCCCCACCAACAGCCCCAGAGGATGCGGCTGCATCCACAAGGGGCGACCTCAGGAGAACAGAAGCCCACGGGCTTGCCCTGACCCAAACTGGGTACTTCCGCAGCCACAGAGAGCTGGTGACAGCAAAGCCGCTCCAGGCTGGGTCCTGGTGGGGGCCCTCTGTGGGCACAGAAGTCACTGCCACCTGGGAGGAAGGGAGGGGACCAGTCCACCAGGGACTTCCAGCCTAGGATGCTTCACTGGCCCGCCGTCCCCATCACCCTCCAGAGGACACTGAAAGGAATGGAATCTGACTCTTCAACTGTATGTACACACTGTCCCACCATGAAAACTCAAGAGAGCTGAGAGGTTCTTGCTTTTACCTCCTGGGACAGGGAACCCGCTACCTCTCAGGAAGAAAAGAAACATGGAGAGTCTACCCTATGCCAAGGGCTGTTCTAGGAAGTTTCACAGAATTGAATTTACTCCTTTAATCCCCCCCGAACAACCCTAGGAGGCAGGCACATAATATTAGCCTTTTTTATGCAGAAACTAGAAGTGAAAGCAGTTATGTAATTGCTCGAATCTGCACAGCTAGGAAGTGGTGGTAAGTAGGGTAACCTACATCCTGGTCTGCCCTGAAGAGTCCCAGTGTACATGTGCTGCCCTGGTGTGATGGTCAAGACAGCACCCTTCCATTCTCGAGAGTGCTCCAGTATGGACAATACAGTATGAGGAATCCAGGTTTCTGCTCTTTCCCTGGACAATCCAACCTCCTCTTCCAACCCTGTTTTTCCATCCAGAGCCTCAGGGGCCATCTGCCGCCACCTGCTCAAAACTTGAGGCCCCTAGAGCCGGCTCCAAGGACAGGAGCCTCAGAATTAGCCAGCACAGCTGAGCTGTAGTTTTTTTTCTCCAGAAGAGGAAGCAGAGGCTGTGGTCCAGGCCCCCTTGCTCTTCCTAAGAAACTGCTGCTTCTCCTCCCACAGCTTGGAGCTGCTCAGGGGCCCACCCTGTCCTTGGAAGGCTCCCAGAGTCCCAGCCAGCCTGTCCAGCTCTCAGCAGCAGCCGTGGGGCTCCCCAAGCCCTGGGCTCCCACCTCAACAGAGGCTTTTGGGCAGAGGGCAGTGGCCTGTGGACCCTTTATGGAGGCCAGGGTAGAGTCTCCAAGAGGCCCCAGCAGCCACTTGTCCCACAGTACAGCAGCCACAGCCTCCATGTGGCCTCACAGACAGAGCGCAGAGAGGCAGGCTGGGGGGCGTGCTCCGGGAGCCAGTCCCTGACCAGACTCTGCCAGGGGCTTCAGTCTATGGGCTCATCCCTCGGTTGCTATGAGGCAAGGACTCAATTTCTACATCTGGGTAGGGCACCACCAGCGCTGCTAGGACAAGCACCCTTGGCCTTTAGAAAGCTCTGGCTTTCTACAACACTCATGTTCCTGTTCTTCCCAGCCCCAGAATAGTTTTTCTCAGCCAGACCCATGTTCTCTACTGGCTGTAGAGGAAGGAAGAAGGGAACAGGTCCCCGATCTCCTGGTCACTGCGGAGAGGACAGGACAAGACGGTAGACAGAACCCCCAGGAGAGGAGGCACTCTCGCAGGCAGGGATGTGGGCCTGAGGCTGGGTCCCTGGGGCCTGCAGGTGTGGAAGATGGGGTTTCGGTGTCATTGCACCCCACAGAAGATGCGGTGACTCAGATGGCCCCTGGGCCTAGGCCTCCTCGGGATGCACTTTGCCCCAGCTGTCTGTCCCTGTGGGCCCCACACGCACGCCGCAGGCATCGATCAACCTGTCTTGGCCCCATGTATCTGTCCCCGCAAGGAGCCTTGAGGATCCACGAAGATCAAACCCTGGTGGAGCTCCCAGGTCCTTGCCTCCCACGAGGACCCTTTGTGGAGCAGAGAACGGAGCCACGAGGCTTGGTGGTGACCTTCGCTGCAGTCAGGAAGAGTCTGAAGAACCCCCTTTAACAGACTTCAAAATCTTCTGGAAAGAAATGCTTCTGAGAACTAGACCTACTGCTGGAGTCTCGAGCACCCAGCACCCTCAGGCCTCTTCCCCAGTGAGAGGCCGTGGGCCTCTCGTGACCCGGGAGGCAGTAACCCTGCTAACCTCAAGACAGAAGCATGAGTGTCTGCGGCGGCCGTGGTTTAACAGTTCGTGCCAAACAGAAGGCCACCCACGTGAGCCCCACTGCAACTCGCCGCCCACGTGTCTCCACGTGCACTGTGAACAGAGACCACACTCCGTCTGTCTTCAGCGAACCTGCTCCTTCCAAACTAGCTGAGTGGCCTTTGCACGCTCGGGGCCTCTCTGAGCCTCCACTTCTCATTGGCACCATGCATGCATTGCCAAGCCCCTTCCTCCCAAAGTGTTGTGGGCACCACCCTTTTGGTCCGACACTCCGCAAACATTTGGTAGCCGGGACATGGAGACCCAGGCATGGCCCTGGTCCTCGGTGAGGTCACAGTCCGTGAGGGAAACACTCTAACACCCCAGAAGAAAAACAGAAGCAATATTGGGGTGTTGAGGGTGCTGTGGGAGCCCCAAGGTGAGCCCTAGTCTAGCCTGGGGGTCACAAGAAGTGAACTTGGAGCCTTGCAGAATGGGGAGGAGTTGAGAACGAGAGGAGGAGACTCCAGGCGAAAGGGAAGCGCAGAGGTGAAGGGCTGGAGGTGGGACGGAGCAGGGCCTGTGAGGGGTTCTCCCAGGGCTCAGGACAGGCGGGAGGAGGTGCGGTAGCTTGCCTAATCGGTCCTGGCTGAGGGCTGTGGACTTGCCCTCAGGGAAGACGCTGAAGCAGGGGAGAAACACGGTCTTTTTGGAGAGGGTAAGGCCGGACACCTGCAGACAGGCGGGAGGCTCTTGTTTGTCCAGTGAGAAATGTAGCAGCTTTCAGGGTAACAGGTGCCAGGAGTGGGCAGATCCCACTGGCCAGGGAGGGGACGTAGGGCAGGGTCAGGGCTGTCAAGATGCTTTGAAGACATCCCAGAGAGATGGTGCTTCTGGTCAGTGAAACCCACAGTCCCAGCCCCTCCTGACCAGGAGAATGCTCCGTTGCCTGGACGGTCACTTGGGGACCCCGGCCCAGGCTCCTTCTCAGCCCCCTTGACAGGAGGATCTCCTACAGTGTGTGGGGTGTGCACATGTGTGTGCGGGTATTCTCTGCACCCCACGCTGCCCCTGAGCCTGGCAAGTAATTCCTCAAAGGACACATTTCCCAACACACACAAAATGCTAACTCTGTAATAATTTGTTTTTTACTAAAGAGCATGTGATGAATGTGGATGACCTTGAAAGTCATCTGCAGCGTGTTGTTGAGCAGGACAACATGGTACTGGCCCACTGCTGCCGTGGTTCGCAGCCTGGGACCCCGGTTCCCACGTGGGCTGTGGGCGGGGCCAGACACACAGCGCTCAGCAGTCCGCATGTCTGCTAAAAGACAGCTCTTTTTTTGTCTTTTGCTTTTTTCTTTTT